AAAAAAAAAAACTGCTCTGATCAACTCCATATTTCACATAAAGTACACATAAGATTTAAAATATAATAAGGAGTTGCTTCATTTACTAAAGTGTCTTGATTCAGTGCTTAAGAAAAGGTTTTAACTCCAACTATGTCTGCAGTGTTTCTTCAGTGAAGGCAGAGGGGGCCATGTGATGATCACCTGCCCATACCAGCCACAGAATTAACAAAGAATTTCTTCATAAAACTCAGCAGCTAAATGGCCAATATACTCTTCTTAACAAGTAAAACTTATATTCAGTAAGGCTCAGATAAACAATTAAGGCTGCACAAAGTCTCTTTCAAAATCAAATGTCAAGACTGGTCCCAGGGAATAGTTCAAAAAACTTCTGAAAGTGTCTCATTCTGAGCACAAACTGAAAGACAATCAAGAAATGACTAGTATATACAAACTGTTCCTATGAGAGGATGAGGGAAAAAACAGTGTCAAACTTAGGCTTTGGGGGAGGAGGGAGGTGGAAACATACCTCCAACAATTCAAGTCTCTAGCTACTCATACAAAATGGGAAGCTAAATCTTCCAAAGTGGAAACGAGAAGTTAACAACAGTTTCATATGAGGTTATATGAGAAATAACCAAGAGACTTCGCTTTTTCTAATTTAAAGTGTCTTTTCATTCTCAGCACAAAAGTACCTAATCTGACAACTAAAGTAAAATCAGAAATAGGATTAAATGAAAATACTAATTAATTTACCTTTCCTTGACAGCTTGAAGAGACACGAGAGGAGATGGAGAACGAAATGGTAATGGAATGCCGAAGGGGAGAAAAGTTTCATTCTTATCTGTTTCAAACATCCCTGGAACATGAGAAACATTGTATGATGAATGGAATCAGAAGAAAAAGAAAAAAATCTAATCACAGTGTAGTTATTTAAAGAAATTCTGAAATGAATAAGCCAAAGGAAATGAAAGATTCAATATAAAATCACAAGTGACCCAGATACAAATGAGCAGAACACAAGCTTACAGGATGCAAGGGATGGTCCACATGTGAAACACTTAGTCAGGTACCTGCATTTTCCTACTAACCCTGAATCCCCATAAGTCAAAAAGGAAGTTTAGAGCCTCAATTAATGTCTTCTCAACAGTTCAGTCACAGGAATACTTGAACATCAAAAAGTGAAGGCAATGACCCCCAAAACTGTAGCAATATTTCGTTCCTAATGGAAAATAATTTGGTTAGTCAGGATAAAATTATTCCACTCTTTTGGTTAATGATCTTCCTTCTTAACCTTTTCAGCATATTGACAGATAATCAAAATCAAGTACTTTACCAATCTCTTAGAGAAAATAAAAAAAATAAACATAAATCCACTCTTCTAGTGCCAAACTGAACTATAGGTACAGATGGCAAGTCAATCATCATAATGAAAATTATTAATATTCAATACGAAATTCTAGGCGCAAGATAACCTAGGCAAACAAGAAGAAAGTAACTGCCTCTTATGAGCAACTAACAAGAAACATATCCATCACCTTCATTTCCATGTGAGCCACAACACTGATCTGGTTGGTCCTCTTCTTGATGAGAAGTGAATTCTTTCAGTCTCTCGTCTTCTGAAAAGGTTTGGCTATGAAGCGAACAAGAGTCCTCATCAGACTGACTGCCCCTTCTACTACTAATGACCCGATAAATACCAGAGTCCAAGATGCTGAAACTTTCCTAAAAATAAAAATAATTTCAAAGAAACATAGTAAACTTTTCTATCACAATGTAACTTTTTAAGTCAAAGGCAACATTAAAAAAAGGTTAACAGGGCCCTCCCTGGTGGCGCAGCGGGTTAAAGCACAGCACTGAGAATCTAAGACGGCTTCCGCATGAGTTCGACTCCCGCCTGCCCCGGAGGTGACCACATGGCGTGGCAGACCTCTCCTGACCTGCCCGCTGCTCCCCTCAGCAGTGTACTTCCTCCATCTGCCTGTTCTGCTCCCTGCTCTGTCTCTGGTAAAGCCTCTTCGCCGCCCCTGAGCCTCTGCCCTGTACCCCAGTTCTGTATGAACAAGTAAATAAATCTTTAAAAAAAAAATAGCTAAACAATAACAATCATGGCTTATTAGAACAGATTAGTGAGCTGCCAGGCTTCTGGCAACTGGGTCACTCTCAAGCCCTAACAGCATCATGCAACTGTATTTCTCTAGTTTGTTTCCATAAAGTCGGAGCATGAGAATAATGATTAAATGAGGCAATCCTGAGCTGTGCTGAGACTCAAATTAGTATGAAGCACTCAGAATCATATACTGTACAGGAGGCAATACAAAATACATTTGCAAACAGAATATAAAAAACAAAACAAAGTACGGCTCCAAGAGACTCCTAAACGAAAGCTTCACAGAACTGTCCAACAGCTGGAGGAAAGTCCCCTCTTGACACTCCCTCCCCAAATCCATTATATGAACAGGAAAAACAAGTTTTGGGATCCTAGAGGTAACTGAGTGCAACCGAAGGCAGTAAATCTTACTATACAGTAAAATCTCAAAGAGATTTTACTGAGAATGCCTACATGTGATGAAATGGAGCTCCTTCTACTACTGCAAGCTGAATCAAAAGGTTCAAATTTTAAGATCAAATCTTCCAGTTGAGAAATAAGATCACTGCAGGTTGTGAGATCCAGCTGAGATTTCAAGTGTTCCAGTTTATCTAGAGTCAAGGATTTTCTTCCCTAATAAAAGAAAAAGTAGAAATTCAACAGATTAACTTGCTGTTTATAACTAAATTTCTACACAAATATCAATATATTGAAAAAGGTCTAACATAGAGCATGTAACCAATCTCAAAGTGCTTTAAAAGGCTTAACAAGCTAGAGAAAAAATTAATGAGCACTGCATAACAATTAGGAATACCATTAAGAATAATGGTATCTACAATCAACCCTTTTAAAAAATAAATTTGAGGGCAAATTTAACTGTTTTAAAAGTGAAAAGTAAGCCTTTTTCTTATTTGTTTGGGAAGGAAATATTCCTTTCCCTAGATTTGTTTGACATGTATCCTTTGGTGCTTTATTGTTGCTTTCTCTGAAAATTGTGTAGAAAAGACCAGTAAAGACAAGAAGCTTTGTAGCAATCCTTCAGGAAGGAAGGGTTTTTCACAGCTGATTAACAGAGAAGCTCTGACTCACTCTGCAAGCAATGATGGAATTTTGGAAAAGACAACAAGTACGAGCAGCCAGGTTCCATAGGCCTCTCCTTAGTAGGCGTTCCACACAGCGTTCCACAGATAACAAGGAAAGATGTGAGACTTTTCCACTTATGTGTAAACAGATCAACTCATTCTTGCAGACGGCTACATCCTGAATGTCTACAAAAGCACAAGGGTGAAAACATGGGATGTTAACCAAATATTCCTTTCCCTTTCAGTTAAAGTAGATACTTTTTCATGAACTGTTTGTTCGTTTACATAATGTATTAAAATCTTTTCATGGACATTAGAATGTATCTCTCAGAAATGTCCTAATCTTCCTCTAATGTAGAGTGCACTGCTTTAAAGTCCAAATTCTTTTTCACAGAAAATAGCAACTTAAATATGATAGTAAAGCAGAAGAGTGTGTTTATTCCAATAAATTAACTTTTTTTACAGTTTGGCTGGATCGAATTTCATTCTAATATTTATACTTGTATTTCAACAAAGAAATCATATACTGGACACTGTTCTAAAAAGATCAGAATGAAAGATACAACGAAACACACTCTTCTGCTCTACTATCATATTTAAGTTGCTATTTTCTGTGAAAAAGAATTTGGACTTTAAAGCAGTGCACTCTACATTAGAGGAATATTAGGACATTTCTGAGAGATACATTCTAATGTCCATGAAAAAATTTTAATACATTATGTAAACCAACAAACAGTTCATGAAAAAATATCTACCTTAACTGAAAATTGTGAGTATTATGGGCACCTGTAGGGAGCATAATGTACAAGAAATCAAGTCACCGGATTGGTAGTTTCTCTTTTTTTAAGTTGTTACAAAATATAAAGTCCAAAGTCAATATACTTTTTTTCTGAGTAGCAATACTAAAAATGCTAGATTTCCTCCATTTCCGGTTTAATTTAAAGGAATACAGATTGATTTTGTGTCTCAGTCAAATACAATGACTATTGTTTCCACAAAGATTTATAGAACCTCCCCCCAACCCCACCCCAATTATTAGGACACAAAATTTCTAAAAGGATTAGGAAACCAGATTCAGGGTAAGTTGAGGGAAAAAATTAACTCAGTCAACACTTAGTATTGGCTACTAATACTTAAAAAATGAATAACAATTGTGTTTTAAATTACCCATGAAAAACTAACTGAACACAAGTTGACAAATGAGTAAGTGTACGGATACCTTACTATGGGAAACATCTGTAATTGTTTATCTTTAAAAGGCCTGAGATTAAATCTTTTGTAAGGAGGTAAATATAATTACCTTTGACTTCACTCCAAAGAAGAACTTGAACATTCTGAGGAATGAAAATATAAATTCCTCTTTCTGTCCATGTCAGCACACAATGCTCACTGTAAGTGAAAATGAAATAGAGAATTCTAATTTGCTCAAGTACGTAAGTTTATAATACAGTAATTTTCTAAATTCAGACCTTCCCATTAGTAAAAATCAGACTATAGAAAGAAAACCATGATCCAGCTAATTAAGTCCTAACACTATCTGCCTACCTGTGAGACCCCCATTTTTCCAGTCTATAAAAATCTGCACAGTCTATAGCCAAACCGCCCTGAACAATCTTGTCTAAAAAATAGTATATGATGGTACCAAATTGAAGTAAAATACAGATACTAAATACATTCTAGAAAAAGACAGGTATTTTACTTCATGTTTGTTAAAACAATTAAATTCATAATTGGTATAACAGGAAATATTTAAAACAAGACTAAACATGTTTACCCCCAATCACTGCTCTGATGAGTCACTTTTAATGGTAGTAATGTTCTGACATCCTTAATTATATGGGCAAGAAAAGGTTAAATATTCTTGGTCAACTACATGGCGGAGCTTTATTTAAAAATCTACCTATATTAAGTAACGTATAGCAACTCACCAAGGTAGTTGTGCTATCTTTATGAACAGAAAAACTGAAGCTCAGAGAAATGAAATAACATATCCAAGGTTGTTCAACATGAGTTATAAGAATCAGAATTTATACCAAGTTTCCAAAATCTGGACTTTTTTCTTTATATCGCAAAATGCGCTTCTTCCTTCACATATATTCACTGTTCCACCCAGTACGATCTGGACTCCTAATTATTTCACTTAACTTAATTCTCAAAAAATCATAGATTTCTTAACTGCCAAACCTAATAACTATCCTTAATTCCCTTCTTCTTGATACCCAAACAGAGAACAACATGGTTGACTATTCCTTCCTCCCTAAATCTCACCTTCCTGTATTCTAAGACACTGTATCACTTTCTTGGTCCACTTTCCTTTTCAAGTGTCTGGTATAATCCATGCATGCTCATCTCTTTCTTATACTTCTTTGCTCAAATCTCTCACACTTTCTAGGGACTACTATGTTTTTATATATCACTGGTAATCTCAGCTTCTTTCCTTTAGTAAGGCATTCCCCCATTTATAATGTCCTCATTAGAGTCACGTCTCAAGCATCAGCAAAAGTTCTATCTCCTCTGTAATCTTCTCCAATGGCCCATAGAAATCACTTGCCCTGGTAGGGCAACCGGTTAGGTCTCAGCACTGCAAGCCAGCCGCAGCCACTTCAGTGCAAATTCAATCCCCAGTCCCAGAGGTGACCCACATGGCACAGCAGACTTCTCCTCCTGCCCGCTGCTCCCCTCAGCAGTGTACTTCATCAATCTGCCTGCCTTGCTCCCCACTCTGTTTCTGGTAAATTCTCTCACCACCCCTGCACCTCTGGCCTGTACGCCAGTTATGTATATATAAATAAATAAATCTTTAAAAAAAAATCACTCACCCTGCCTATGAAAATCATGTACTAAACTGCTACAATTGTTGTATTTTACTGTTGTAAAGCTTTCATAGAACTAAACCACATCTCTCGAAACATGAGAATTTTAAAAGGGACGTTTTTCTTTTTTCTAGTTCCCAAGAATATATAAAATAATATATAGTACCATGTACCTATGTACCTATTAAGAATGTATTTAGGTAGGTACATGTACCTATTAAGAATGTATTTAATAGGATTGGGTCCTCAGAATATTAAAATATTCTGCCAATATGAAAGACCATTACCACGACCCTTAAAGTAATCTTTGTCACAAAAATGGGAGAAATGGACAGAATCCTAGTTCACAGTAAAATCAGAAGTCTGTCTTCAGGCCCTCCCTGGTGGTGCAACGGGTTAATAGCACAGCACTATGAATATACCCCAGCCACTGCAGCACAAGTTCAATCCCTGGCCAGGGAGTGGCAGACTTCTCCTGACCTATCCGCAGCTCCCCTCAGCAGTGCATTTCAGTACATCTGTCTATTCTGCTCCCCACTCGGTCTCTGGTGCATCCTCTCACCCCCTACATCTCTAGCCTGTACCCCAGTTTTGTATGCATAATTAAATAAATATTTTTAAAAAGAAGGCTATCTTCAGGAGCCAGAGGGGAAAGAAAAACAAACAAAAATTTAGGATTCACAAGTAAAGATATATAACATCATGATTTTGATACTGAATTTGATATGCATCTTAGAAAGAAGACTTAGCAATAGCAACCTAGATTATATGGATGAGGGAGAGATTCAGCTAGTTGTTTAGTCTTTGTAATTTACACATTCCCTAGTCCTTTAGCCTTTCACTAAGAATAAACAGGCTTAACAGCAAATTTAAAATGTTAAGGAAGGGGAAGGGATACCAGATTACCCAAAAGGAAACAGAGTGTCAGTGTACTTCTTTGTGGGATATGTGAGTGTAAGAGTAAAATTTACCACAAGAACACAAGTATACACACAGAAGAAAAAAGTAAACAGGAGCAAAATGGACTCCTTATTCATGGTCTTTAAAAAAACAAGAAAAACTTCACTGAATTATTTAATTATTATTTGAGAAATCTTTATGTGACCAGCATTGTTGCCATAATAAAAGAGATAAGGGGCCCTCCCTGGTGGTAAAACGGGTCAAAGCCAAAGCTAGCCATAGCCACTTCAGCATGAGTTCAATCCCTGGCCAGGGAGGTGGCCCACATGCCCTGGACAAGCAGGTAACCTCACCTGTCTCACCCGCTGCTCTCCTCAACAGTGTACTTCCTCAATCTGCCTGTTCTGCTCCCCACTCTGTCTCTGGTGAACCCTCTCACTTGCCCCTGCACCTCTGGCCTGTACCCCAGTTCTGTATGCAAAAATAAATAAAACTTTAAAAAATATATATAAAAGAGTTGATAATCTGATGCTGGGGTGGGCACTCAGGGTACAATGAAAAAGTTAGGGTGGTGGAGAAATGAAGTAGGTATGTTTATAAAAACGGAAGAAATGAACAGAATCCTAGTCCAAAGTACATACAAAAATAAGAGTCTAATCTAAGCCTGGTGGAGGAATCAGCAGAGGCTTCAAAGTGGCATTAATTATTGCTTAAGCTAAGAGTAGGCAGAGCAAGATCATGAAGTGCTCTTTTGCTATGGCAGGAACTGTAATAGGTGCTTAAAATAGGTTGGCTCAAAGGAATAACTATATCAGGAGAACCATGCAAGCTGTGGCCTCATCTTAGAAAACATACTCTTGAACCATAATCAACAATTACTAAGTGTCTATTTTGTGCCAAGCACTGTGAATACAGTATATTCCCTCATGGAATATACTGTCCAATTGTAAGACAGTTATAAACTGTATAAATTCTGTGAAGAAAGAGTTTTTAATGTGCTTTATCTAATTATGGGCAAGTAAGTATTTTCTTTTCCAGTAATTTTAAGGGTAAATTATGTATTTACAAAAATATTATACTGTCTACAATTCATTCTCAAATACGTCAAGTGTAGGCAGTGTGACACAGACATACATTAACTAGGGACAATTAGCTAGCATTTCAAGTTTTTTTTTTTTAAATCACATTCTAAGGGTGATCGTATCCTTTGACAGATACGATCAAGAGTCAAACTCCAGAATACACAGTAACAACCTCTAACTAGCATTCTCTGAAGCAGCATTATACCATTTATTAATGAGCCTATTGTTTATCAGAAATAATCTTTCATTGATGGAATAAGCAGATATCAAGAATAATTCTACACACAGATTGATGGGAAGTCAACAGTGATGCCCCCATGCCTGTAGGCAAGACCTACAGTGGTGAGAGAGCCTTTATGGCACTGTCTGCTGCCGCTTCTTAGTCTAGCCTTACACATCACCCAATTAGAAAGCCAGCTGAATCTTGATGTTGAGAATATAGCTGGCTGAATCTATCTCAAGCAGATTTTTATGCAATGTACTTATCAGAGTACCAAAAGGGTAGAAAGCTGAACTTCCACAAGCTTGCAAGAACAAATTCTAGAACTACTTTTATTCTGGCTTGTTAAAAACACATGTTTGTGGCAGACTTCATTCTGAGATTTGTTTTCATTGTAACATCCCACCAAGTAGAGGGGGTTATGAAAGAGTAAGTACCTGATAATTAAAAATGTTCAATTGTTTTAGGTCAGTTAAATTCTGAAAGGGAAGCCTATCTATACAATCTTTTCATTCCTCTTGTATATGCAACACTTCACATAACATGTAACATAGTCACTGCCTAATTTTTTAAAATTAACTTAAAAAGCTATTATCAGGCTCTTCCTGGTGGAACAACCAGTTAAAGCACTGCATTATGAAGCTCTCTAAAGCCACTGCAGTGCAAGTTCGACCCCCCACCAAGGAGCTGACCCACATGGCATGGCAGACCTCTCCTGACCTGTCCGCTGCTCCCCTCAGTGGTGTACTTCAGTGGATCTGCCTGTTCTGTTCCCCACTCTGTCTCTGGTTAATCCTCTCACCTACCATACCTCTGGCCTGTAACCCAATTCTGTAAGCATAAATGTCCATTTTTTTCTTTAAAGGATTCAAAAGAGAAACTTACCTAAGATGCAAGAGTTTGGGAAAAGACAAAGACTGGGAAGAGCCAACCGTATGGTCATACTGAGGTTCTGACCTAGGAAGCAAAGATCTCTGTTAATAATTTAATCAAAACATAAACAATTCCCTATAAAGAAAAAAATTTTTTCCCTAAACAAATTAAAGAACCTAACTGTATCTTCTCTATTTGGTTTGCTTTGATAATTTAAAAAAAAAAAATCATTGATGAAAGCCTATTGGATTCTCTGATTTTTTTTAACATAAATTCAATTTCACTCTTAAAAGGCATAAATCTAATAGAGAATAACAGAGATTTCAATTCAACCCCTCTATGTGAATTCCACAAACATTCACAAGTCACACAAAATCATTACCTTAGAGTAATCACAGGAAGAGGTGGAGATGAGAGGAGTTTCTTAAACTGATGTGTACTTATAACTTCCCCATCAAAGTTTACTTCCCACATCCTGGAGCCAGGACGAGCACAATATATTAGAGGTTGCTGGTTCACAGAACACTTTCCAGGGAAGAAACAAGCTCCATATTCTCCATCTCTTTCCTTGTTTCCAATTTTCCAAAACTTTTCTCTAATACACCAAATAAAAGAGAAGCACCTTTTCTTACAAAAATCAAAAACAAAAAGACAATGGCACCACCAATCAACATGGCCATAATAACCCACCCACAATGCCCTCTTTCATTCACATTCACAATATACAGGAAAGAAAAGAATGGAAAGGTCAAAATAGGGGGCCAGCTCTGACAGACCACTAACCCTGTGACAGGAAACAAGTCATCTACAGAAGGAGGGGCTCACAACTGATGTGAAAGCCCTTTTCAAATCTAAAAACTGAGTGCTACCAAACTGTTTCAGGCATCCTTAAATCCTGCTACTTGCTTTCCAAGTCTCCTGTGGACACTCCAAGGAAACTACTAATCTACCATTCCAACCCTGTCTGTAAGCCAATTCTCTGCCACCAACATCAAATTCCTCACTCTAGCAAGTCTTTCTGAAATTCTGTACCTTGGGATAGTTTGTTCCCTTATGATTATTTTTTTTTTAAAGATTTATTTATTTATTTGTACAGAACTGGGGTACAGGCCAGAGATGCGGAGGGTGAGAGAATTCACCAGAGACAGAGCGGGGAGCAGAACAGGCAGATCGACGAAGTACACTGCTGAGGGGAGCAGCGGGTGGGTCAGGAGAGGTCTGCCACGCCATGTGGTCGCCTCCGGGACAGGCGGGAATCGAACTCATGAGGAAGTGGCTTTAGATTCTCAGTGCTGTGCTTTAACCCGCTGCGCCACCAGGGAGGGCCCCTTATGATTATTTTTAAAAGATTTTAAAATTTATTTTTGTATACAGAAATGGGGTAGAGGCCAGAGGTTCAGGGGCGGTAAGAGGATTCACCAGAAACAGTGGGGAGCAGAACTGGCAGATCCACAAAGCATACTGCTGAGGGGAGCAGCAGGTGGGTCAGGAGAGGTCTGCTGCACCATGTGGGGTCACCTCCAGGGCGGGGATCAAATTTGCATTGAAGCAGCCACAGCTTGGCTTAGCTTCACAGTGTAGCGCTCCAACCTGCTGTGCCATTATGGAGGGCCTCCCTTATGCTTAACTTAGCACACTGCCTGGGAACATGGAAGGAGATGATGATGAAAAGAAATTTTCCTGAAAACTCCTAATTTTTTATGACTTAGCACCATCATTTTTTGATTCCTATAAGCTTACAAATTACATGTGTTCCTTGCTACATTTTCATAGCACTTACCACATCACATGTGGTAACTGGGTCTAACTGCCAGTAGACAAAATAGTTTATGACATTCTTCAGAACAAAGGCCCTTTATTATTCCCCTTGAGTTGAGTTCCCAGTGTATAGCACAACAGCTGGCCCACAGAAAGCGCTCAATACACAGCAGTGCTCCAATATATCAGCCTGTTTAATTGAAGGATGAACTACTAGATTGTCAGAAAAGTCAAGACACATCTTCACTGAAAAGCATAGAAAAAAGTATGTTATAACTCTTCCGACAACCCAACCCAATAATATGCTCTCCAATGTGGATTTACTATGTGAAACTTAAATTACTCAACAAATATCCCTATGCTTAATTGCTTCATGAAAAAGCTAACATCACCTTTACTATAAGAACATGCATGTGAAAACACTCTGAAATGTGTAATATAAGTAGTGGTTTATTACTAATGTTCCTTATTTTGGAAATAAAATGTATTCACTGATTTTATATACTATGTAGTGTTTAATATGGTTCTAAGGATACAGAGGAGAGCAAAAAGTTTTTGCTACATGAACAAATACACGCAACTCACATTCTGATTTACATGCTCATTAATCTTACTTTCTACAGTTTCAAACAATATGTGACAGGCATAAAGCTGAGTATTTTATATACATTACTTTAGTTAACCTTTAAAACTTTCCATATCCTGGATGAGGAAACTCACATTTAGCAAAGTTTTTAAAGTGACAGAATCAAAATTTGAAAACGTATTGTCAGGTTCTTCCAGCCACTGTTCCTTCCTACACTTCCTATACTACACCACTGTTCTTTGTTTCTGTTTGTTTTAGTTTCTCCTGGGATCAACCTTTTTGGTTAACAGAACTGACAGAAAGTAGACAGTAGCTAGAGAGAGAGAGCAGTTATAAGTAGCTTCAGCTTAAAAAAAAAAAAAAGTTGTTAAAAGGGAATACAGATCGCCTGAAACAGAAAAAATCCAAACATAAAGTCTTCGAATTACTGTACTATCCATGCCCCCCAAAACTGGTAATAGAAAATGGGCACTTCTAACACAAGCTATTTTAGCAGCAGTTTTTATATTATTCTCATAATCAAGTCTAGTCTCAGTAAACTGGGAAAACAGTGATTAGCAACTCTATTGCTGCTAGTGAGGGCAAACCTCCACTTATTTAGCTCTTTTAGTTTTTCATGTATACCATCTCACCAAATTCTCAAGACAACCCCCAATAGGGTGTTAACTCATTTCAATGTTCTGCTCACTTCTCAGAACTTTAGCCAAATTTCTGAATAGGGCCATGTGGTAAACTTGAAAACCTATAGATAAAGCTTTGTGAAGCTAACAAATATTTTAACAAAATCTCAAGGGTGGAGTTAAAGATCCATGGATCAAAGGTTGTATAGAGGTACCTGGGATTACAGGATGGAAAACAAATCAACAACAAAGGCTCTAATCTTATCTGCCTTGTCCTTGCTGTGTGATGATAGGCAGGCTCTCTAACTCACTAGATCAAGGCTTTAGACCTGCAAATATGAAAGGGCGATGCCTGCTGACTTCTGTGTTAACTTCATCATTGATCTATGGTGAAATAAGTCAAAACCAAGTACATCATCCTTTCTTCCATGTAATCTGAAAGCTACATCTCCTGCTTCTTAGGCTGTCCAGCTAGGTTCTCTGATGCCAGCCACCTGCCACCTGCTATTATTGGCATCCCTCTTTTTACCTTTTAAAATCTATTAAATACACAAATTTTAACAACTAAATAAATTCAATCAAGGAAGACTTTCTGATCCTTTAGTCTTCCCTCATAGCTCATCATGGGAGAGCTAGATGAATACTTCTCTTTAGGCACATACTGGACTATCTCAGTTTCCTCTCACTACCTTTGCGCTCTCTAACATCAGTCTGCACATAGCTGGTCCCTAATTAAGATTTGTATAATTGAATTGAGGGGCATGGGCTACATGATTTCTAAGTGATCTCCAGTTCTAACATTCTATATATTTTATGACTTCTGTTTAATCAATATACCTCTCAGTGTCACACAAGAAGGATCGAGTAAGTGAAGATACAAGTAGTCTTCCATCCAAATAATCTAACTGGACAACACAGGAGTCAACTGTAGTTATTGTCTGAACAGGAAACATCACAAAAGCAGCAGCCGCCTAAATGGGATATGACAAAGAAATAAAATTTATCATTTTATATATATATATATATGTATGTATGTATATATGTGTGTGTTTGTATATATATATATATGTGTGTGTGTGTGTGTGTGTGTGTATATTTATATAGAATTGCTTTCTCTTTAAAGTTATCCATTACTAGAACTCTTATTTCCTGCCAGGACCCTATACAGAAATAAGTCAAGGAGAGAGAAATCCCCTACACATCTGATATAACCACCTTAGAGGAGAGGAACAATGAGAAGCTTGTCAGTTTTGCTTAACAACAGACTGGGTGTTCTGGCAGGGTAACTGAGACTCAATCCTTCTACTCCAATTATGGTGGAATCCTCGGGACCCACACAGCTGAGCAAAATCCAGGTATCTTTAAGATTCCACTCACAATAGGTTACATACATCATAGACCAGTGAGTTTTCTACACAGCAACCAAGAGGAATATAGGAGTCTGGACAATTGGTGCCATATGTGTATTTGCTCTTTTTTTCTTTAAGAGTTATTTATTTATTAAAAAAAAAGTTATTTATTTATGCACACAAAACTGGGGTACAGGCTAGAGGAGCGGGGGGGTAAGAGAATTCACCAAAGACAGCTGGGAGCAAAACAGGCAGATGGACTGAAGTACGCTGCTGAGGAGCGCAGCGGGCAGGTCAGGAGAAGTCTGCCATGCCATGTGGATCACCTTCCTGGCTGGGGACTTCATAGTGCTGTGCCTTAACCTCTTGAGCCACCAGGGAGGGCCCATGTGTTTGTTATCTTAATCACACGCTAATAAGCATCTTTTCTTTCTTAATAGTTTCATACTAAAGAAAGCTTTGGTTAAGTGAGCCACACACAGGAAATAGTGCAAATTACTGAACTTTGCTCAGAGAAATCATTGTGCAATGGTACCTAGATAAGCCAGGCTACCTTATGAACCACATATAAATAAGTCTCAAAGTTAAACATCTGGGTTATAGATCTATGTCTTTTAACAAACAACTTGTATCTCACCCACACACATAAAAAACTGTTCTCACCTTTGCTTGTTTAGAAGTGTTGATTTTGATGGCAGTAATTTTCCCTGTATGATCACCTACAAAAACTCGAAGAATAGCTGTATCCCAACAAAGGGCTGTAATTTTTCGGCCTTTGTGTTCTGAAGACACATAAATTCGTTCTGGTTTCCCACGACGCTCTTGATTTAATTCCCAAACAACTACAAGACCTTGACTGCAAGAATTGAATCATAAAAGTAAATTGATGGTAGAGGTGAAAAAGGTACAACTCTATTAGGTATAATTTAATACAGCAAATTCTTGTTCTTCAGATAAACAAAACAGAAAATCAAGGCCCTTGTGTTAGCCAATAAAACCTGAATAACAGAGAATTTACAGGTTCTAAATGATCTGTTAGCTTTAAGGGCACTGAAATGTAGTTGCCTCAGATTACCATTGTTCACAAACATTAGGGTAACTGTCCATCTTGGGGTCTGTCAGGCAATGGCAAATTTCCTAGGACATGGGACTTTCAGTGCTGAAAGAGTTACGGTCCTAGGAAAACCAGGATGGCTGGTCACCCTAACATACAACCACATCTGTCAATTCAGAATGCATGTAGAAAAGCTTAAGTAGTTTTGAAATAGTTTCTCACCTAGTAGCTACAGCAACATAATCATCATCATGTAAACAACAGGCAACCTGAGAAATTGCACCTTCCTAGAGCATAAAAGGAAAAATATTAGGCAGCTCCTCAAAAAGGAGCATTTTTTTAAACTCTTCAGTTTCTTAATTCAAAGCATTCTTTATAATGGAGAAATATGCATTTATGAAAAATACTCTGAATGATATATGACAGGGCTGTCCTTAGCCTTACCCTGTGTTGAAGGAAAAACCTGTGCTTCCAGCCTTCTTTCTGAATGAGATTGAGTCCTCCTCCTGAGCTGCCCAAAGCCAACCATTTCCGAGATACAGCTATGCTTGTGCACTAAAAATCACAGACAGTATAAGATCATCACAGTATCTTACCTAAATAAAACCATTCACTGGAAATACCAAGATATGTGAACCAGGTCCCTCCCAAACCCACTCTCTGCCCAGATGGACACCACATAATGACAGTCATGCTCTCATTCTCATACAATGAAAACTACAGAAGAACAAACAGTTCAGTTTTAAATTTTCAATTGAACCTCAAAATGGCTGAAGAGCACAGTTGCATGAATGAGTAATTTTCCCTTGACAAAAGCAAGTACAAAAGTACATCTTTTGTGTACTTTGCCTATGTCATTCCAATTCTGTAAAATCAAGTAAGTCTCAAGGGGCGAAAGCAACCACTTGAATCATTTACTCACTTAAACCATTTCCAGTTTGTATGATTAGCACAAAACACCCACAGCTCTAAGAGCAAGGGAGACTGCAGAAGGCAAAGATGCAGGTGCTTTTATGTCTTCCTACGTTCTCAGCCTGCTGGTTTTTTTTTTCCTTCACCACAAAATAGCAGTAACCATGCTGTCCTATACTGTTCCCAATACCTGGCAAAGATAACTGGTTGGCTGACAAATATTCCCTTCTTCAACCTTTTGTTCTACACTGTAGGCGCTGGAAGCCCTATCAAGGGTTTCACTTACTAAGATTCTCTTGCATCTAGGGGGCGCCATGTGACTCAACTGCAGCAAGACAAAGGCTGCTGGAGCTTCTTGAAAGCTTTACCTTCCCGGGCAAAAAAATAGTGTCTAAGCAAGAGAAAATTTGTCCTTAGCCCTTTCTTTAGCTTAAGATGCTAATGGAGACATCAAAACAGAAACCAAAACTTAACCTTACTTACACATGTGACTAAAAGCCAATATAGGGATGGTGGCAGAATAGGGGACATGAAGAGCCTGAGTCCTCAGGAATATATATCACCTGGTGACTACACAAAAGCCAGAAACACTAACCTACAACAAGGTTATAAATACCTTTTGCTTAAATATTTATTATAATATATTCTGTAACTTGTAACTGAAAAAAACATCTAATGCAGATCCTCACAACTGCTGTGCATACTGCTTGGCCTACTACTTCCTATTCTCACTTTGCTTTGGAGGTAAGAAAGGTGTAGAGTGGGAGTAAAAAAGGGTCAAAAACAATTTTGGAATTATTTATGAGATTTTTTTTCTATCCATATCATTCTTAGATTTAATCAAAAGAACACAGGATTTGAGGTAAGCACATCTGTTCTTCTTTTGCTCAGTTCCATAAAACAGGAAGAACAGAAGATACACCAAACATGTCTTTTTAGAAGGACCTTAGTATAACTGCAATGTTCATGGTGCTCAAAATGTTTAGTATACTCACTTATATACTGTAACTTCAAATACATTATTTTCTGAGAGAAGACAAAAATTGAGAGAAAAAATCTTTAGCAATCAATATCATGGTTTCCAAATATGGGACTGAAGAATTCAAATGACAGTTTACAAATAAGTCAAGAGAGAGCCATGACCTTTACTTCTATGTAAGGTATTACCAGCATAGGTAAGAACACCCAAAGTTCCATAAAACACAAAGAACTGGAGCAGGGGACACACGTAATAGAGAGCACACAAATATAAGACTATAGAACTAAAACTGATACAAGGAGTAAAGCATTCACCTTTAGACGACTGGAGTCCAGTCTCAGGGCTGAAAGTAATGGATCCAGAGACTCAAACTCTGCAAGAACATGGCTGTAGGAATCCGGTATCACAGGCACAAGAGTCATTTAGCCAGAAAGTTGAAACTATGCTGGGTGATAGGCACAGGATTCCTTACTAAAACCTGTAAAACAATTTAAGGCATTTGCTATTACGCAACATTCCATTAATGAATACATGAAGATTAGAGAGTAACATGGGACTGGAATCCCTACTTTGGAGATGATTAGCATCTAGATGGAAAGAAAATAAATAGAGGTAACATTGTAACAGTCAACTAGTAACGTTAACATTTCCTAACTCTAAAATTCCCAGATTCTTTAAGCCCTCCATTCTTTCCTACTGTTTATATTACATTGTGAAGTAGGTACAATGGACACCATAGGATTTCAAAGGAAAGCTGGCCAACCTCCTCTATGGTCAAATACTAACTTTGCTGCATTTCTTTGAACTGTAGATATGTCTTTAAAAGAATCATATTAAAGGGCAATCTTTGTAAATACCTTAAAAATGTACACCTTATCCAAAAACTCAAGTCACCAGTTAACTATTTAATAGTGTTTCACAGGAACAGGCCATTGGATCTCTCTTTTGTAAGGGGCTCCAGAAGTATCTGCTGAATGAATGAATGCACCTACTAAGAAAGAAGGTGCAGAGAATTGCAGGACAAGAACTTCAATAGAAGAAACCTGATAGAAATGAACAAGAATACTACCAGGTAGCACAGGCCAAGTAATCAATAAAGACTTTAGAAACTGACACAAGATATGTCAGTTCTTAGAGAAGTTGCTGGAAGGTGGTGTCAAACAATTCTAAACTTACCTTTCTTAGCAAAAATTAATTTCTTTGTGACTACTGCTCCCTGAAATGCCACCCTTTTTCTCCAAACCTACTAATTTAAAATCCAGCAGAAATACTATTCCCAGAATTTACAAAGTGGAAGAATGCTTCATAAGTAATTTAGTGCACATAGCTACTTAATTCAAAAATTAGTTTTGTCATTGATCCCTGAACATTTCCAGTGAGGATAAGGAAGCACTATCTCCTGAAACTGTTCAACCCACTCCTCCACAGTTCTGTTATAAGGTACTTTTTGATATTGGGCTGAAATCTTATCACTTAGAACTTTTACTAAGTAAGTATTCTTAATTGTGTCTTGTACAGTTGACTTCTTCTGCATGGCAAGGGAATTAGTTTACTTTTTCCAAAACAACCTTTCAGGGGGAAGGAAACTTTCAGTATTTAAAAGTGTTATCAGGTCTGATTTAAAAAAAAAATCTAACATTCCCAATTTTTCAATCATTCTGACCATTTCCAAATTCCTCTGTTCTAGTCAACTTTCTTCCAAAGCACTGCAGTTTTCCTAAAGATGTGATGCCCACACCTTAACATACTTCGTAAGTGGTAGGATTAACATAGAATAGAAACACTAACTTCTTGATCTGTAGACTAAATTTTTATATTACAATCTAAAATAACACCAGGTGTGTTTTTAAAGTAATTATGTCACACTTTTGATTCAACAGAGCAAGAAGTCAACTAAAATCTAAAGAAAGTTACACATAAAATCAATATAATCTTCCTAGTCAATAACTACAGTAGAATTGAGCTCAAACTGAACACTGCTATTAATCAAATGTGGCAAAAGATTAAAAAGTACCTAGAAATTTTAAAACTTTGTACCAACAAAAACAAGAGAACTTTGAAAACTGTTAAAGCTGAGTTATGTGAATATGAGGATTAGTTATCTTTTCCTGTCTATTTTGTATGTCTGAAATTTTTCACACAACTTCCTAATATACAAAGAAAAAAAATTGTACACAACTTTAATAGCTCTTTTTATATAATTTATTATCTCATCCCACTTCTTTTCCCAACTTCATCTCCTATCTTATATTATCTTCTGTTTTTCAACTGTTCAGTTCTATTTTTGTTTCTTTCAGTCTATAAACTTTGTTTGCCATGGCTTAATATACCTGTTTGTTTATAATCTTCCCCCATGCAACAAAACTCAGTTTTATAGAAAGCTGAGTTTTCTATAAAGCTGAGTTTAAGTTTTATTTAAGTCAGTGAGAATTCCAGCCTAATATTTAACCAATACAGGTGGCCATAAATGCTTACCAAAGTCAAGGAAACAACTTAATGAAGGGTCGACTTGCTATGGTCACTGATCACCTAAGAGTTGGACCTGAGACTAGAATTTGGTTGAGTTCAAATCTAATCCAGATTTGTCAGTAACATAAAAGAGTAACAGGATCAAGGAAAGTTTCTTCTCATCGTCCCAGTATTCATTTTATCCACCAAAGGAATGTCCACACCAAATGCAAATCACAGCAGTCTCTTTCCCACTGTTGGGTGTTTGGAAATAAGCCAGAGGAGGAAGCAAAAGTAAAGCTATTACAAGAAGGGAAGTTGGTGATTCCCCTCTTCATAATAGAACCTTTCTATCCAAAAATGTTTCATATCAGACAACGAGCTGGTGACAATGCAGTCAACATTCAGTGATTCTGCAGTGTTCCAGGTGGTTGCACGCACCACAGGAGACAGTCCCTGCCCACTAGCAGCTCCTTGACTAGAGGAACTGCTACCTTTTTGACAGCAGTTAACACTGCATTCAGCTCTCTGGAGAAGAGGAGCCTCGGCAAGCAAGTTTTCAAAATCGGGCTCACACACCAGCGGCCCAGAGGGCTCAGCCCCGCTCCACCACCTCCACCACTCGCAGCCGCGGTGAGTCAGACCTTTCCGGTCTTCGCGTCGGTACACTTACCACGCACGGAGAACGGCACTCAACTTCAGCTTTCCCTACCGCTCCACCCCTCCTCGGCGTACGTCATTCCGAGCGTCGGGGGACGCGGGGACACGCCGCTAACGGTACTTCCTAGTCACGTGACAGGTCACGCCCCTGCCTGTGCGTGGTCCCTCCCCCTCAGGCCGCGGTCGCAATTACGCTCTCTGTGGCCTGCAGTCAGCAGGGTACTGCTGACCGAAGACTCGGCGTCGACCCACACCGGAGAAGCTCTAGGCCAAAAGGGGTGCGCCAGCCAGGATTCCGGTACCCTTCCACTGCTTGAGACGGGCGAGAGGAAATGAAACAGGCGGGAACTGGCGGAGGAGGGAGGAAACTAGCGGAAGGTGTCATGGCGGCCGCGCTCTGGGTCACGTGGCCCACAGGCCCGCCTTGGCACTTCCGGTCACGTGCCCTCAGAGTTCTCGCAGCCAGCGATGGAGGCGAGACCCCCCAGTAACAGAGGCGGTGGCGACGGCGGCGGCCGCTGGGCTTCGGTCTCTTCCCGGCAGCATCAGTAAGAAGCTTAGTGGAACTCAGCCCAACCCAGCCCACTTACGTGATCTCTGCCTAGGGTCGTAGCTCCCACCTGGTAAGTTTAGACCGAAGAATGGGGGTGGGTAGTTGGGTGGGTGAGTGAAGAGCTGACAGGCCCGGGGGCCGCGGGACCGCGCGGCTTATGCCTCTTTTCCCTGCCCCCCTGTCGCGGTCGCCACAGCTTCCAAGTCTGCGGTCTTGGTACCCCTTTATTATCCTGAAGCAAGGGAAAAGAAACCCCCTGATCTACTTACCTATAGGAAACCTACCCGTTCACTGAGAGGAAGGGCTCAGAGGACTGACCCAAAGCCATGATCAGACTTGATTCATTAGGATGAAGGAAGTGAAGGCCTCTCCTGGGCAGACGAGCCTTTTCCCGTTAGGAAATGTGCCGTTCAGTCTTTCGATTTAATAGAAACGCTTCGTGTCCGCTCACATTTTGTCTTGCCTGTCAGTCTTGCCTCTCTTAAAACTTTGCTAACACGTGCCAGTTCACCCCAAATTTTGGTCAGTAGACAGATTCGATTGACCTGTAATGACTGGAAATAATTAATTGCACACACATGCAACACATACCACTTATGAATCCCTCGATGTCCACAGAAATTAAATTGATGAGATGTATGGGATTAACTTTTAAGCATTTTTTATTGACTATAAGGTGAGGGGAAGGGAAAGAGATTTAAAAAAAATAAACTTCCTCATTAGAGGACCTCTTTTTTTTTTTAATTTAAAAAAATACTTTATTCATACAAAAACTGGGGTTCAGGCCAGGGTGGGGAAGGTGAGAGGGTTCACCAGAGACAGAGTAGAGAGCAGAACAGGCAGATTGAAATACTTGCTGAGGTGAGCAGCGGCATGACAGGAGATGTCTGCTATGCCATGTGGGTCACCTCCCAGGCCAGGAATGGAACTCATGCTGCAGTGGCTGCTGATCACTTCCTAGTGCTGTGCTTTAACTCTTTGGGCCACCAGAGTGGGCCCAGAAGACCCTATTTTAAAGACATGCAAAACTAAGTAGGTTGAAATATATTATGAAGTTAAGTAGTGCCTGTAAAAAAGGTTTTTAACAAGTTCTTCCCATGCATTATTATTGGGGATCCCAATATAAAACAGCATTCTCTTGCGGAATTGAATTTGGGAGGGCCAAGCCTCACCACTTAGCATTCCCTCTTCGCACATAATTTGAAAATCTTACTGGGCTTTGATAAATAAACCAAAGTTACCCACCAGGAGATTTGTAAAAGTCAAAACTACAAGAGTTGAGTTGGAAAGGTCACTACAACAGCAGGGGAGATAACCTCTGGTATCAGGCTACCAGAAAGACTGGGCTCTGCAGAGAGGGAACTTTGTACCTTTTAGCAGCACCAAGTCCCTCTTGAAGAAAAAAGAAATAATTTGATTCCTTAAACCTAATCTCTGCCCATCAACCAACATTTAGTAGTACACCAAGCTGATTTTTTGCTTCTAGTAATAGTAAATACATATGGCATTGCAAATGTAAAAAAAATAACCCATGCAAAATGAAAAATTTTAGGAAGATTGGGGAAAATACAGGAGTCAGCTAATAGTAATGAATCAAGTGATCACCTCCAGTCATTTGTAATGCTTTCTGTATGTACTGCCTTCAGGACTTACCTCTTCCCACTCAGGTCTGTCTGCCCGCCTTATGGCCTCCTGTTCTGTGTGCCATGTATGTTGTTTTTCCCCTACCATAAGAAGCTTGTCTACTTTTGCTTCCTGCTTTTGACTACTGTTTCCTACCTCATGAATACTAATGATAAAGGTATCTGTGATCTTCTTTTCCCTCTTTCCTTCTTTCAGTGTGGCAATGCCAGGCATCTATCTAATAGTTCCTTTCCTTTCCCCTTTCCCTAGCTTACTGCTTTTTCCTCAATTTTGGTAATATACTCTTGTCAGTATGCAGTATTAGTGAGTAGGAGCACACATTCCCTTTATCTTGCCCCTTCCTTTTGAATTGTCCTTCTCTGCCTCTCCCTGCACAGTGAGAAAGTGTTCATTTTAAAATTTCTGCATTAGTTATTCCCTTTTAAATCTTGTCATTGTAAGTACCCTGTAACTACATTTTGGTCACCCTTTTTGCCTACTTCCAAGGTCTTACCCGCTGTAGTGCTGAATTGTTTAAATGTTTTTGGATTGCCTGATGTCACGCAGCATTCCATATCTCCATTTTGTATGCTGGCAGATATGGCTGCTCTCTCTCTCTCTCTAAGTCCTTCACTTAGGCATTTTCCCCTTCACTTTATTTCTGCATACTAGAAGGGGATGTAGGCAATGGGAAAACAAAGATGCAGTATTTAAATATTTCTAAACAGTTTCAAATTCCTTCAATTGCTGTTATAAGCCAGAAGTTACAATCTTTGAAGTGAGAGCTGTGGTGCTTCCTAGAGTTCAGCTGAGAATGTATGCACAAGGGTTTCCTGTATCTTAGCAAAATTCTATTTAACAATAAAGGTCTTAGATTCATAGATCTTTATTGCACTCTTGCAATAGGTCAAATCATGCTGCTGGATACTGTGTTTCAACGAAGACACACAAGAGCCCCTGCCCTCTTTATGAAGCTTATAGTCTGCCGAGGGAGACAGACATTAAGATAGTATTCATAAAAATAAATTAGTTGTGGTAAGTGCTGTGGAGAGGATAGGAGACCTTGCCTAGTAACTGAAAATTAAAGGAGGCCAAAAATAAAGTGATAGTGAAAAAATAAGAGTGAATTGATGGCAAGAGAAGGGGCAAGGCGGAAAGTCATTGTAAGGCATGTACATTCAGCTGTAGTTTTTTTATAAACTGACATTTATTTTTAATTTAATAAAGTTGGAATTTTTTTCAGCCACACCTTTTAACTGCAAATGAATAGTACCTTTGCTGGAGGATCTTGCTATTTAAAGAAATCTGTGGCATAATATTTCATAAATAAAATAAGGAAAGCGAAAACTAAGTTTTTGCCTAGCCACTTTGTTTAAATGTAACTGCACCTATATTTTTGTAAATGAAACAATCTATAGACTTTACATAGAGTTCTACTGAGAAATGTTTGTCACCCACAAAATCTCTTTCAAGAAAAACCTGGAGCTCACGAAAATCATTGTAAGATAACCCCACTGGTTCTATTAAACTTCTTAAAACTGGTCTTTGTACATTTAGCAGAGGATGCTACAGATCTGGAAAGTTTGCCAAGCAAATTAGCATGAAACAGTTGACCAGTCCTATCTAACATGCAATAAACTTATCTCCAGTTTAAGTTTTAAAGTTCCTCTAACTATAGTTTTAGTATACATAGGTTTTCCATGTTATATGAGATTTGTGCTCTTCCCAGTTGGTTGAAAGAAACTGACTCCAGTAATCAGTCTGTCAGTCTAACTTATTTTCTACCTTATAGTTTCCCTTTACTCATCTTTTCTTTCTTACCTTTCTAAATCAAAAATGTTATTTGTTCTTTTGCAAAGGTAACACTTCCCATTTGTTGGCTATAAGCCCAGTTTATTGGGGACTTTACTGTAGACTGTCCTTGCCCACTGCTCTTCCTCCACCTGTGAACATACTTAAAAGTTTTCCTATAATTAACTACTTGCCTTGCTTCTCACCCCATTCTTCCTCAGAATTTAATTCATGTTTCCTAAAATGTGGTTTGTATGATATGCAGTATTTTACATAAATAATAAGGTTTTTATTTTATAGTAATGTGCTCATAATAATTATTTGAAAATGTTAAGGTATTTTATTGTTCCATAGATGTTATAAGATTTTTTTATGAAGTAATTTTTTTTTTTACTAAGTAAAATATAATCCAAAGGGTATACGTGTATTATAGAAGTTCGAAATAAGTTGTTTTCATTTTTACCCATATGAGTGTCCCTGATGCTTTCCCATATTCTTACAAACATGATAGGGAATAAACTCATAGGAAGACACTTAAATTTTATCTACTCTTCTCATGACAGTATGCATATTATAGATAACCCAGAAATCAAAACGAGCATTCAGATCATCTGTAATTCTATCACCTATTGATAACTCTGGGATTATACATATTGCCAGCACAGCATAGTGGAACTCCAAGGTCAGGCTGACCCAGATTCAAATCCAGGCCTACTACTTCCTTAATGCTTTGGGAAAGCATCTTGATTTCTCACAGTCTTGTTTCTTTCATCTGCAGGACGGAGCTATTAATAGAACCTACCTCAAGATTGTTAACTGAGAATTGAATGAGATGGTGCCAGTAAAAAACTTAGCCTAATGTCTGGCACATATAATAAAGCAATAAATTCTAGATAGATGTTTTTAAATTTAAGAATGTGGAATCAATCTATTTGCTTTTTTTTTTTTTTTTCACTTTTATCACTTAACGGTGTATTTTCTCATGTCATTAAATGGACTTAAAACAGTGGTTTTCAAATTTATAAAATGGCAATAACCTTGTAATCTACTTAGAAGGACCTAAAAAAAACAAATTGGTTAAAAATTGGTACTACATATTAAGAATTTTAACTCATCATATATAGTGTATAAATACTAAAATTATAGCTGTTGGCCCTCCCTGGTGGTGCAGCAGGTTAAAGCACAGCACTAAGAGGCTAAAGCCACTTCCGCATGATTTCTATCCCCACCTGCCTGGAAGGAGATCCACATGGCACGGCAGACCTCTCCTGACCCGCCCACTGCTCCCCTCAGCAGGGTACTTTGTTGATCTGCCTGTTCTGCTCCCGACTCTGTCTCTGGTGAATCGTCTCACCGCCCCTGCACCTCTGGCCTGTACCCTAGTTCTGTATGCACAAATAAATGAATCTTTAAAAAATAAAATAAAATTATAGCTATTATAAAAAGTAGGGAGAAATATTTTCAGTGACATGTGAACAATCAGATAATTTACCTGGATATACTTCCTGATCATGCTTGGAACATGGATACAAATAAGCATAATTCAAAATTAAGAAAATTGATGTTTAGGCTGTGGGGTAATGGAATGGGATTCCCATTACTAATGCCTATCACTCTTAGTAATGCTTATTTTCCATTAGGCCTCTAAAAGGAGAATAGAAAGGCTAATTATTTTTAATAGCTAGTGGCACATCCCATAGTGTACCTATTTGTTTTTGTTTTTGTTTTTTTAAAGATTTATTTATTTGTACATACAGAACTGGGGTACAGGCCAGAGGCTCAGGGGTGGTGAGAGGCTTCACCAGAGACAGAGTGGGGAACAGAACAGGCAGATCGAGAAGCAGCGGGCGGGTCAGGAGAGGTCTGCAGCGCCATGTGGTCACCTCTGGGGCAGGCAGGAATCAAACTCATGCAGAAGTAGCTTTAGCTTCTTAGTGCTGTGCTTTAACCCACTGCACCACCAGGGAGGGCCCATGTACCTATTTGTTTTAACCTCAAGAGAAAAATGTTTCAGAAAGCTTCATGTGTTTGTTCAGGGAAAATCTAAGTCTGATGACACCTAAATTTGCTGATTTCACAAAATTGTGCTTTGTAACCTGAAGAAGTAAAATTTTAAAATGAGATTTTTAAATAAAATAAAAACTAAATCATAACCTTACCAGCACTGGCATATATGTAACATTTGTGTTTCTACTTAACCCCATTCCAGCCTAAGGTAGACATCAGTAGTGCATCTTTGCTGTTGAACCCAGACAACCTCAAAGTCCCCTGCAGCTTTATACTCCAGAAATGATTTGAGTTGAATATTTAATATTCCCAGTATTGGGGAGAAGTGGGAAGTCTGGACTATCCCTACATTACAGTTAACCATATAAAGGTGAATCTTAGCCAGGATAAGCTGGGTGATTCAAGACGTTGGCTTGTTAGAAAATGAGGGAAGTAGCATTTGATGTGTTACGAATTATCATTCCAAATAAACAGGAAGAACCTTAGACCAAAATTCTGAAAATGGTATAGGTTTAGGTCTGCAAGTGGTTCTTTAAATTTCAGTTGAAACAAATTTGAATTATTCCAGAAGGTCCTGTGTAATTGTAAAGTTCTATAATTCTCGTTATAGATTAACAACCACTTATTTGTAAACAAGATACAAGGCTTGAGAATATAGCAAGAAAGTAAAAATAAATTGGAAATTCTCTAATTAGCATATGTGGAAATGGTTTACAAACACAAGTAAGGGCCCTCCCTGGGTTAAAGCACAGCATTATGAAGCTATTGCAGCCACTGCAGCACAAGTTCAATCCCTGGCCAGGGGGGTGACCCACATGGCATGGGTCTTCTGTCTTCGCCTGTTGCTCCCTCAACAGTGTGTTTCATTCTGCCTTTTCTGCTACCCACTCTGACTCTGCAGAATCCTCTCAGCCCCCGCACCTCTGCCTATACCCAGTTCTGTATATATAAATAAATAAATCTTTAAAACAATAGAAACACTGGCAAATATTATAACCTGTGAATGCTGTGTAAATTCACACCTCTGGTATGAACAAAAGTAAATTTAATTTCAAAGAAATAATGCCAATGATTTTATCTTCAGTTTTGAATTAGAGCAGAGACTTTCCTTTCTTACAAATTTGCTACAGTTTAAGTTGTAGATTTGGAAGAAATTCTAAAAGTCGGCAAATCACAACTTTGAATGTGAAATCTTTTTATCTCTATTAGCAACATCTAGCCATTATGGCAACATCATCTGAAGAAGTTTTGCTAATTGTAAAGAAGGTGCGTCAGAAGAAGCAGGATGGAGCACTGTATCTCATGGCAGAAAGAATTGCTTGGGCACCTGAAGGCAAAGATAGATTTACAATCAGCCATATGTATGCAGATATTAAATGTAAGTCACCTACACTAAGGTTTGATATATATCTTACCTATTAATAATTTTGTAGGACGATTGCTTATACAGTCTTTATGGGTTTGTTATTATATCTAAAAAGTCAATCACACAGTAATAATTACAAAATACAATCATTGAATACGTATTACTCTAAAATCTGTCTTTTCTGCTTAATGGTGTATACAACTTTACCTATGCAATTCTATCTCATAGAAAGATCTCCACATTTCCTTTTAAGAGTTATATAATATGCCACTGAAACCACATTGCAGTATAGATCTGTACAATAATATTTTTGTGAGGTTTTTGTATATGGAATACATCTCTGGCATGGACTTAATGTTTTAAACAGTTCGTGCATTTAAAATATTGATAGATGATGCCTAAATGTCCTTTAATAAAATTGTAACATTTAAACTAGTTGTTTAATTAATCTTTAGTTATATAACCATTCTCTGTTGAGAATATAGGCTCAATATACTGAATGCAATGGGAAAATACAGAACATAAATTTTTTTTAATGACGTCATTGTTAATTTTTGAACATTGTTTGATTTTTTTCCCTTCAGGTGGTATGCCCATAGTTCTTTCACCACCATAGCAGTCATGATCCATCTCTCCAGTCCTTTATATTCTTCCTTCCCCTGTTTAACCCCTTTCCCTCTGCTTCCCCTGCAGAACATAAATTTTGTTTTGTTTTGTTTTGGTTTTTGTGGGTTTTTTTTGAGAACATAAATATTTTTAACTGGATACAGGTCAGCATAGTGCACTGTATCTAGCAGAAATGGCTGTCCTCAAGTGAGAGACACAATCTACAAAGTAATATTTGTGGACAGAGCTATTTCCTCAATACAATGAGAAAAAATATTTTTTGATACCTGTTTTTTAAGCTTTGACATATGAAAGCTAAAATCAAAACCCCTTTCTCTTTCCAAATTTTCAAGATTACTTTGAATTTATTACCCAGAGAGTATGGTATTTGTGATTAAAACTAGCAAGTGAAACTTGGTATTTAGAACCTCATTCCAAAAGGTATTTCTCCGGTTCACCTAAGTAAAAGTGTTAAATATTTGACAAATTTTATTTTAATTATGACCATTAATATGGATTCATTTATTTTCTGCCTTAAGGACTTAGCTGTACTTTGTTGCTGGAAATGACCAAAATCCTCACTTTTCTCAACTGAAATAGCTTAGACTTCTAATTTTCAAAAGGAAATACTATTTAAAAATTACCATAATTTGTAAATACAGCTTAAGCTAGCTGCTTGTTTGTCCACTGTCCTGATGATTTAATCTCCTTTTAAAACTTTGTTTCTGTAGACATAAGCCTCACTCACATTGTCAGATTGAGTCTTGCAAATTAGCAGCAGTGCACTCATAACTTAGGAACTGCTTTTATTTGCATTTCTTTTAAAAGTGAAGCTAACTTTGCAAAATACACACTGTTACACCCACAACATGCAATAAAGAAATGCCTGTTTCCTAACTTAACAGTTCTTTTGATCATTGGGGAGGAAAGTGCATATCCAAATCTAAATCTATGCCAGCTCAGTTTTCATTTTACTTTGAATATTTGAAAGAATTCAGTTTCTGAAAGAAGTTATTAAAAGTGTTCAATAATTTATTAAGATGAAAATGAGCATCTTAAGCATTTTAGCTAGTAAAAAAACTCTGGAAGTAGGCCTCTGAGAGGAAAGATTTAGGAAAGAGCAAGGATGACACTAATTTTTAAAAAAGTGTCTAGAAAGAAGTTAAGATTTTTGTTTCTATTTTTCTGAGGAATGTGGTAGTGAAACAGATTGATGATGATATAAATTGCTATTTTGAACAGTAAGCTATTTCTTATAAGGTGCTGGTTTATAAGCAGCATCTTTACTGAGAAAGTTTCTATTTAAAGGGTTAGTGGGTTGGTTTGGCCTGAGAGCCATAAGCAGTATATTCACCCACGGATCACCCGTTATGGGTCAGAGGTCCTCCACCTGTTTCTCTTTTCAAAAAAACAAACACTCCTATTTCCATGAGCTACTTTTTAACAACATAAATTCTCCTTTGTAGGTGTGTTTTGACATTCCTAACCACAAGTTATTGTGAAAATCTCAGTTACAGAAATATGTAAAGAATGGTATGATGCTATATGTTAACTGTTTTGCATACAGTTGCTTTCTATGTATGTATAAATTGACATAGCACACCAAGAAAATACTAATAATAAAGATCCAGACCATTGTTACATTTTCTAGCTCTCCTAATAATGTTTTTTATAGCTGTGTTTTTCTTTAAAACCAGTATCCAGTCTAGGTTTGGTGAGGGTTTTGTTTCTGGGTTTTGGGTTTTTTGTTTTGTTTTGGTTTGGTTTTTTTTTTTTTTTTTTTAGTAGAAAACTGAGTTATAGGCCAGAGGTGCTGGAGCAGGAAAGGATTCATGAGGGACAGAGTAGGGAGTAAAATGGGCAAATTTACTGAAATACCTGCTGAGGGGAACAGCAGGCGAGACAGGAGAGGTCTGTTGCGCCCAGTGAATTGGCTCCCTGACTGGGGATCCAACTCAGGTGCTAGAGGATGTTATCACTGAGACTTAACCCTTAGACTACCGGGGAGGCCACTAATCTAGTTTTGTGTATCTGGTTGTCATCTCTTTCAGAGTATAGGCTTACAAAAATACCATGCATTTCTACTGTGTCTCATTGTCTCCTCAAGACCTTGATTTATTCTTGTATACCTATATTTCTTAAATATTGAAAAATAAAAAAATACCTGAAAGTCAGTTTTACAGGTTTCATTGTACTTAAGTTAAACACTTTCAGCAACAATTAATATAGGTAGCAATGTTTGCTTCCTGTTCAATCACCTAAGAAAGCCATTGGATCAGGTTGTCTGTCTTTTAATGATTCTAAATTTTATTTTTGATTAAAATGTTGACACCAGATACCTCAAATGTAAAATTGTTTATTTTCCTTTGCATTTAAAAGGTAAGTGGACTGGTTTGGAGTTTTTGAATCATAACTAATCATTTTCATTAATAGTAATTGGGAGACATCTGTTCAAAGTGTATTCAGAACTCTTAGTTGGCTACTTAGAAAACCTTACAGAGAGATCTGCTCCTGTTGAGTGGAAATGAAAATCCTTCTAGTAACCTAGAGGTAGAAGCAGTGGTGAGAAATGCCATACAAAAAGGATTCAGAAGAAGGAAATAATGTTAGTACTGACTTTATTGAACATGCTCAGATTACATGGGATTATTTGGAAAGAATGCATATCTACAGGAGCATGGAAATTGGTACAGTACCCAAAGGAATCCTGAATCTACTGGAAAGAGAAGTATTCTGTTAGATGGCAGTTTCCACAGTGTAAGTGTCCTCATCTAATTGGCCTCACGCTTCTTTTTAGGCCAGAAAATCAGTCCAGAAGGAAAAGCTAAAATTCAACTTCAGCTGGTCCTGCATGCAGGGGACACAACTAACTTCCATTTTTCCAATGAAAGCACAGCAGTGAAAGAGCGAGATGCAGTGAAAGATCTTCTTCAGCAGCTGCTGCCTAAATTCAAGAGGAAAGCTAATAAAGAACTAGAAGAGAAAAACAGGTAAAGGGGGGAAAGAATAGCCTTTTGAAGAAATATTAGATTCTTCCCAGTCTTTTAGTAGAATAATAGCTGGTTACTTTCCCTTTGTGCTTCACTGGTTTAATAGAGGAGTTTTGCTATCTCTTATCTGTTAGGTACACAACTTTCAGCATCTTGCTAACTGTTTGGCTTTGAGTAAAGGAGAATGTATAAACTCCTAAGTTAAATTAACTTCCTCAAGCCTTAACATCTGATTTAGGAGATTCAAAGGTTCTAATCACCTTTATTTTTTTTTTCTCTCCTTCATTTTTCTCAGTCCTCATCACAGAGAACATACTAACCCATTTAGAAGTATGTTTGTGACATAAAAGAAAGTTCTTTGGGGCCCTCCCTGGTGGCGCAGCAGGTTAAAGCACAGCACTGAGAAGCTAAAGCCACTTCTGCATGAGTTTGATCCCCACCTGCCCCGGAGGTGACCACATTGCAGGGCAGACCTCTCCTGGCCCTCCCGCTGCTCCCCTCAGCAGTGTACTTAGTCGATCTGCCTGTTCTGCTCCCCGCTCTGTCTCTGGTGAATCCTATCACCCTCCGCATCTCTGGCCTGTACCCCAGTTCTGTGTGAATAAATAAATCTTAAAAAGTTCTTGAAGGTTAACAGGCTGTTGTGTTAGACCACCTTAAAATAAACTGATTCCAAACTCCAAAAAGATAAAGAAACCACCCAAAAGTAGAAAATCTACTTCAGAGGACTCATAAACTTGTCGTTTCAGACAATTATAAAGTGATAGATCATGAAGACCCCTTGAAACTACTTAAATAAGTTACTTTTTTTTTTTTTTAAGATTTTTTTTTTTTATGCGTATAGAACTGGGTTACAGGCCAGAGGTGCAGGGGTGGTGAGAGGATTCAGCAGAAGCAGAATGGGGAGCAGAATGGGCAGATTGATGATATACACTGCTGAGGGGAGCAGCGGGCAATACAGGAGAGGTCTGCTGTGCCTTGTGTATCACCTCCGGGGTGGGGAACCAGAGCAACCTCTGTCAGCTTCACAGTGCTGCACTTTATACCACTGCACCACCAGGGAGGGCCCATAAGTTACTTTTACATATAAAAAAGAGTGTGTGCTTTTTACATATTAAAAAGAGTGAGTGGGGGGGGGGAAGTGCACGGGATTATGTTGATGGCACACGGTGAGTTGGTGATGAGAAACCCGCGGGGATTACAGTTGAGATGGGGAAAAAATGATGTAAAAATAAACTGTTGTAAAATAAAAAGTAAGAATATGAAAGAAAACATTGTAAAAAAGGTAAGAAAGCTTGTTAAATAATGTGGATTTCTGATAAGGTGAATTATGCCAGCACCACTATCTTTCAAACCATCTGTGCTTATGACTTCATGCTTGTCACCATGAAAAATTAGTTGCTGGAAAATCTCAAATATACCTCCTCTCTTTCTCACTCACTTAAAGAATATGAAAAGAGAATACAGTCATACAGACCCAATGGCCTTGTATTTCTGGGGTACATAAGAGATGAATATGACCAAATTCATGCTCTCAAAGAGTTTATTATAGTCTTCTTCAGATTTCTGTGTATTTCTATCAAAAAAATCTTTTTTTGGCTTTTTACTACTAACAAATGAACTAAATAACCTCTGCTGCTCAGTCATCACAAAATGAAAGTTGTGTGTTTTCAGTGTTACATGTTGTGAAGACAAAAATATTACCAAAAGGGTTTTTTATTCTGGAAGTTTAATATATTCAATATATTCTATCACCAGAATGCTGCAAGAAGATCCTGTTTTATTTCAGCTCTATAAAGACCTTGTTGTGAGTCAAGTGATAAGTGCTGAGGAATTCTGGGCTAATCGTTTAAATGTGAATGCAACAGAGAGTTCTTCTACATCCAATCATAAACAGGATGTTGGTATTTCTGCAGCATTTCTGGTATGTGGCTTTTCTAGATTTCTTAAGGGAAAAAGGTGAAAACCCTGATATGTATGTTAACATTTCTTTTGTAAAATTTAGTGTTTCCTCAAATTAATGGAACATTTATGATATTTTTCTAGACTTTTTAAAATGTATATAGTTTTTTGGGTTTTTTTTAATTTTCTTTTTTTTTTTTTTTTACTAGTTGTCTTCTTGTTCTTTACACTTGGTTTAGGACTTGCAAACATGCTGAAAAATGGACTTCTATAAGAGAATCTTAGAAGCTGGACTAATATTTATCCTAATAGTTTTTAAATCTAGCACTTACACCCTTTTTATGATTGCTATATTTTACTGGTAATGGAAAGTTAGCTGTATAATGACCATCACATTGTACCATTGTAAGATTATAGAATATATCTGATAGATAAATTGGCAATAGTTAACCTGTGGGATTTACTTAGCATGTACTTGGTGGAACCCAAGCAGTAATTATACAATAAACAAAAATTTGAAAATCAGTTTTTATTTGGCATCTTTCTTGGTGCTTAGTAGTGAATTGATTTAAAAAAAAGGCCTTTCCTAAAGAAGTCAGTAAAGTACATTTAAATTACTAATCTAGGTTTATAGTTGTTCTAAGTGTTTTTAGTGTTATGTTAAATCTTCAATAGCTGTCTGCATTGGCCACACATAAAGCATGCCTATTTTATCATGTTGGATTTTCAAGGAAACCAATTTTATAGGTCACTGAGATTATTTGAAACCAGCCTTCTTTGAGCCCTTTATACCAGAAAGTGAGATGAGAGGACTGAATCTCTATCTCTCTAATTAATTCAGAATGTCTGTTTTTTCCACCCCTGACCAGTGTCTATTGGGAGTTTAGGTATCTTCCCTCAACATTATAATGGTCATCCCTTAATATTGTCTTTATTTTAGGCTGATGTACGGCCCCAAACAGATGGATGTAATGGTCTGAGATACAATTTAACCTCTGATATCATTGAGTCCATATTTAGGACCTATCCAGCTGGTAAGAAAAACCAATTCTTCCACTTAAACTGTAATATTTTGATTATTCAGTAATTATCAGTAATATTTTGATTAAAAAATAAAAGGCTTTACCTTTATTCCTAATTAAGTGCAATAAATATGTAAAGTATTTTATCCAGTGCCTGACATATGGTAGATACTAAGAGTTCAGTAAATAATAGGTGATCATTGCATACTGTGTTAATTTCAACATCCTTTTCATTGGTGGTTCATTTCCCCCTTAAATTTACTTATTCTTCAATATATCTGAGCAATATGACAGACCCAAGAGATATCAATAAATGAGCCTCTCTGTAGCACTAAACTTAGGTTATCCTTAATGCTGCTTTCAGAGTGACCTTCCTAAACCATGAAACATTTACCTTGCAGAGAAACCAACCCTAGAGATTTATGATATACAGCCAGTGTCAAGAGTCTCTGCCTCAGCCTTTCTTCTGACTGAATAGTGCTCACTTGACTTTATGCAGAAGCCCATTTCTTCACTCTTGCCCCTTTATCCATAGGACTCAGCCAAAGCATTACCTCGTTGCCACCTCTGTAAAACCCTGACTTTTGGTGGTATATACTGACCTCCAACACTTCCTTCTGTAAGGCCTTATATTTGCCTCAGTGTAATCACATCATGATGTAGTTGTTTTCATATCTTTCTGATATAATAACAACTTAGTTATAAAGCGTTTACTTTGTGCCATATAATATTCTAAGATCTTTATGCATATTAACTCACATATACCCAGAGAAGTTAAGTACTGTTATTATTGTAACCTCATACTACAGATAAGGAAAACAAGATACATAGAGACTGAAGTAATTTGCCCAGGGAAGCACAGGAAGTAGTAGACATAGGGTTAAATTTTTAAACTCATGCTCCTGCTTAAGACATCTCTTTTCTCAACAGTGTATCTCACTGGACTATAAGCTTCTTGAGTACTAAGGTGATAGTTCAGTGGGTATTGATGTCTTTATTTCTTTAACATCCAGTGCTGTGGAGTGTCTACATAGATAATAGGAAAATATAAGCAAATTCAGAGTTGACTCCAGAATTCTTGATGTTTTTACTAAGATGCTAAAATTAGTTAATTCTCATGGTGACAAATAAGGTTTTATTTCTGATTTATTAAGATTAAAGAGCTTGTAGTGTCTCACCTAATTTCTCAACTTTCATTTATATGCAATTAAGTAGTTATATGCATAAAGTATATAAAGCTGAATTAGGTTCATAGTCTGACTTTTGCTTTTAGTTTATATTTCAGTTTTCTAATTTGAGAGTTTTTTTAAATTGGGTATTCGGTATATGCACTGTTATTCCTTTTTTTTTTTTCCCCACACACAGTAAAAATGAAATACGCAGAAAATGTTCCCCACAATATGACAGAAAAGGAATTCTGGACACGTTTTTTCCAGTCCCATTATTTTCACAGGGACCGACTGAATACAGGGTCAAAGGACCTCTTTGCAGAATGTGCCAAAATAGATGAAAAAGGTAATTATTTATTCCAGATGTATTCTGGGCTTTATTTTGCTACTCTCTAATCATTGGTGCTATTCATGATTTTTTTCTTTTATTTCTGAGAAAAAGCCTTAACTCTTTTCCCCTTTATTTCCTAGGGTTAAAAACAATGGTTTCCTTAGGAGTGAAAAATCCACTACTTGACTTGACAGCTTTGGAAGATAAACCATTAGATGAGGTAAGAAGTAGTAAAAGGATTTATGAGAGAAAACCGTTTTCTAGTCTTCGGTATTTTTATAGATTTTAAATTGCCATAAGTCTAGATAGATGTTCCACTTGTAAAATATACAAACAAAATACTATTAATTTTGGAGTGATCTATCAGAAGTGCTTTTTAAAGTAGCACTGTTCACTATTAAAAGTTCCTTTTAGAGCTGAAATTCCTATGTGAATTGCTAAAATATTAGCAATTAGCTCCCCTATCACCAGTTTTCTAGGTAATAACAGACTTAATGTGTTCATTAGTCATTCCAGCTTTATGCTGTAGCTGACATTAATCGGAAAATACCGGTAAATTTTAGTAGACAAGGAAAAGATAATAAATGTTGTTCACTATTAACCAAACCTTGAGCAAACTCAGAACCCTTACCCAACACTAGCCCCAGTGAGAGGCATCAAATACGAGCTTCCTACTGTGACTCCAGACTTAAAAGATTTGTACAGTTATGGAGAGACATGTAATCTCATCTGATCAAAACTAATTCTCTCCTGCCCTGTCTTCTAGGCTAAGAAGCTTCCTTCCACAGTTATTCTCTTCACTTCTGTATTTTCACTTTCTTGTCATCCTTTTCTGCTGGCCATATAAACATGCTCATACTTTCCTAGCTTTTATTTTTCTAACTTTTTCCTCTTATTTTAGTGTATGTACTCTATGTACTCACCAGGTGAGAAAACCAATGTTAAAATTTTGTGCTACAATCTAAAGTCTAAATTAACAGACAATAACCCTTGGTGCTCAGGTGAGTTGTATCCTTAATGAAATTCAGTTTTCCTGGTAATTTTCAACACTCAGTCACTTCCTTGGTAACTGTCAACACATTACAAATCATTTGTATCTTATCCTGAGAAAACAAAGCTTAGTTAAGCTTAGAAATACAGCTTAATATGAGAAAAAGGAAACATTTGTAGTGCTTCTTCAAAAATAAAAGCAATAGTTTATTATTCATACAGATGTGTAACTTTCTTCTTCATGTTGCCTATATCAGTATGTGTCTAAGCTAAAATATAGCATAGTAAAGTAAATGTACTTTGCAATCTACCTGGCTTAGACTGTCAAAAAAAAATTTTGGCACTTCTAGACAAGTTTTCTTATTAAGTGAAGAATACTAAACTTAGGAGCGAGTAAGAAAATTGAGGAGGTGTTTAAAGGTACAAATTTTCAACTAGTAGATAAACAAGCATAGTGATTATATTTTGTTAACTGTATTACAAACTTCAAAGTACCTAAGAGACTAGATCTTAATTGTTCTCACTACTTAAAAGCAATAATAAATATGTCATGAACTGAATGTGGGAAGTGAACAAAACTAGAAGAGGTGTTAGCTAAAATGCTATGGTAGTAATCAAATTATAATATACAATAATGCTTTGCTTAACTGCATTGCTTTCAACTGTGGACCATATCTGTAATGGTGATCCCCACAGGCTATACCATAAAGCCTAGGTGTGTGGTAGGTTATACTGTCTACCTTTATGTAATTATGTTCTGACTTTTACATAATGACAGAGTGGCCTAACAACACATTTCTCATGCCGTCTCCACTAAGCAATGCATAACTAAACATATCAAATTTTAATATATTGTACATGTAAACTTAGATAGTGTTACATGTCAGTTATATCTCAGTTCAAAAATGCCCCAAAAATAAAAGTGCTGACTTAAAGAATTCCCAGTAGAGATCTTGGTACATAGTGCTCAGTAAGTAATTGGTGTTACTGTTGTAATCTATGTGGGTTGTTGTTTTCTTGTGCCTGCATATAATGTTCCATTGTCTAGATAATGTTAACATTTTATAGATGTAAATAAATTACAACATTTAATCCCCTTACTAAAAATGTCAGTTTTTTCCACTTTGGTGCCTTTTCTGCTGTTACTTTCTAAGTGTTATAATTGTTCCTAAGGTTTGTTCATACGCCCCCTTCTCAATACTAATATATGAGGTACTGTTGCTTCACATAGTACATTTGTTATATAGAAGAGTATATACACTATATACTGTTGCTTTGCATACTAATTTTGTAATGTTAATCCCAAATAACTGATCTGTCTGACCCCCGAATTCCAAAATTATATCAGCTGCCTGTTGGATAACTTCACTAAAGTATTTCACAGACATCTCAGTATGTCCAAAGTGGAACCTTTGGTTCCCATCCTCATAAAGCTCTTTCTTCCTGTATCTTTGTGTCTCAGTAAAAAAAAAAATCATGGGCTCAACTGCTCATGCCACAACATAGCAGTCTCCTTGATGCCTCCCTTCCCCATATTCAGTTCATCAGGAGTCCTCTAAAATTCATCTCTGAATACATCTCTAGCCACAGACACATGTCCTTTCACCTTTAGCCTCACTTTTAGTCACTTTGGCTGACTGTTTGTATTAGCTTCTGTCTTCCTATTTCTACCCATGTTTCCTCTAATTCATTCTCCCCTACTAGTGAGTGTTATAAATCAGATCATAATGCTTCCCTCTGTAAAACTCTTCTTGGACTTGGATTAAAATCACAGCTCCTATTTTGTCCTCTACCTACCTGCTGAGGTTTATGCCAGTTCCAGTTATTTGTGCTCCAGACAAAGTGACCTTCTTTCAGTTCCATCCTAAGCCTTTTCTCCTTCAGGGCTTTTGCACTTGTTGTTTGTACTTGGCGCTTCTGCCTAATTAGCTTCTAATTAGACATGTTCTAATTTCACTTCAGAGAAACCTTCCCTAGCCTCCCCTATAAAAAGTAAATCCACTGCCCAATTCAGTCACTACATTATGTCACTCTCTTTATTTATACATTGATGCTTTAAAAGTGATTTTGTTTTTGTCTTTGTTGGTTGTCAGTCTTTCTGATTAAAGTTCCATGTAGCTGACTGTTCTTGTTCACTGGCCTATAGCAAGCACATTGGCCTATAGCAAGCACATGGTATATATTAGGCAGTCAATGATGTGTCATTCATAACTGAACGAATGACATGAATCTTTATGATTTTCCTCTTACTATTTTAATCTTAGTTTTACCAGTCCCTTACTCAGCTTTCAGCTATATTGAACTACATACAAACCCATGGTACAGGGCCTCCATGGTAGCCTAGGGATAAATCTCAGTGCTGTCACAACTATGACCTGAGTTTGATCCCAGGTCAGGCAGCTGACCCACATGGTACAGCAGACATTTGCTGTCTTGCCCACTGCTCCCCTCAGTAGTGTGTTTCAGTCGATTTGCCTGTTCTTCCCCCTACTCTGTCTCTGGTGAATACTTCACCCCCTGCACCTCTGGCATATACCCCAGCTCTTCTATGTAAAAAAATACATAATAATTAATTCCTTTATTTAAAAAAAAAACATGTTACAATACATACTACATTATTCCTATGCCTCTCCCTGAAATGTTAGTCTTGGCATGTCTGTCTTGTAGGCACCTATTTAATGGTGCTCCATGAAACTTTTCAAAACCTGTCCCTTCTGTCCTATTTTGATACTGACTACCTCCTCTCTTGTAGCATCTGTATGTCATAACTGTGTGTGTGGGATTGCAGTCCAGTATCCCATTGATTGTTATTTAGGCTTCATAATTATTGGCACAGGGTCTTACCTGGTATTTTCTATCTATGCAACCTAGCATAGAACAAGTACTCAGAAAATGTTTGAAAATATTGACTTATTAATTCTCTAATATTCCATGTTATACAGTTTGGAAAAGTTTCCTAACTTGCCTAGACTACTTCAGGGAGTGGTGATAAAGCCAGAACTTGTATCCATATCTATCTTACCACAGAATCCTTGCTGTTTTCCACGGTATTCTCTTACTTATACTTTGCTAACTACATCCAAAATCACTCTGAAAAAATAAAGTTCATTTTCAGATTAAAGTTTTTGTGATGCTAAAAGGAGTTAAGTATATTTCTTAATTCTTTCTGTGTCACTGTAAATATTTTCAACTGTGTACATGTTTCTCAAAATAGATAAGAAAACCAAAACATTATTTTGATTTTTAATCTATTGAATTATTTTTCATAGGGCTATGGCATTTCCTCTGTGCCATCTACTTCTAATTCTAAATCCATAAAGGAGAATAGTAACGCTGCCATCATCAAGAGGTTTAACCATCACAGTGCCATGGTGCTGGCAGCAGGCCTCAGGAAGCAGTTGAGTATACATGGAGGGGTACGGCATTGAGGCTCCCCAAGAGGTCAGGTGGAGTTGTTGCTCTGCTTGTGATTTAACATTTAAATTTTTTTCCTTTGTTTTAAGAGAAGCACAAAATGAACAAAATGGTGAGCCCAGCAGCATGGACGGAAATTGTGGAGATGCAGACTACTTTCAGCCAGCAGTCAAACGGGTATGGGTAAAGAGTCTGCAGCATTTTTTAAGGCTCAGGTTTCTGTAGATGTCTTATATAACTGCTGGTTGTCTACATTGCTCCTTAATTATTTCAAATGATTGAGTTCTTGTGAAAGACTTTAGGCGTTTGTCTTAAACTATAGACTGTTTTTAAGAGTACTTTCTCAGGTTTGGCCTGCTAGACAGCTTTCTGTGGACTCAGGTCTATTTACCGTTTTTATTGGTTATTTTTATTCCTTCATGTATATACACACATACATTGAAACATAGTTTTGTTTTTTGGAACAGAGTATTCATTCAGCAAAGACAATATGATAGAAAAAGTGAAGGTTTGTGTATAAGATTTTTAAAAGAAAGAGTTTGGCTCTCATGTTAATATTTTCCTTGTATTTTCTGAGCTAGGTATGTTTTATCATTAAATATTGAAGAACTCACTTGGAAGTATCAGGAAGTATAGTTCTTGTCCTCCCACTTTGGCAAACTACTCACTCTATTTCTGAATTTTTTTTAAGTTCCTCCCACCCCAATTACAAAAATTAATTATTAATTTTTCCTTGCGGGCAAGTAGGCAGCTATATTAAAATTCAAATGATTTTTCTCCTTCACTTCTAAACAGTGTCCTACTTTGGACACTTACATTTATTTTTTTTTAAATTTATATATTTATGCATACAGAACTCGAGTATAGGCCAGAGTTGCGGGGGGTAAGGGATTCACCAGAGACAGACTGGGGAACAGAACAGCCAGACTGAAGAAGTACATTGCTGAGGAGAGCAGCAGGCTGGTCAGGAGAGGTCTGCTACACCATGTGAGTCACCTCCCTGGCCAGCAATTGAACAAATGCTGCAGTGGCTGCAATAGCTTCATAGTGCTGTGCCCATTGTGCCACGCAGGGAGGGCCTAGATTCGGGTTTTTATGGGAGGTTAGGTAAAGACATGATTTATATAGGGTAACAGTGGGGCCAGAAATGAAATTAACATGTGAAAAGTAATAAAGAACTCTAGTACATCCTGATATTGCCTGAAAAGTGTAAATACTAAAAAAATTAGACTGAGTCTATATAGGGTGATACTTATTGATGTGTTATTCTGATAATGAGGAAAGATTAGTTCCTGTAATAACAAAAGGAAGCTCCTATAATAACAAAAGGACTGTATTTGGACTTAAAATAGAGAAATTTAAAATACTAAGTTCTCAAATTGGTTTCCTAAGATACATATTTAGTAACCTGTATGTTTTGATTCTAGTCTTAATAACTAGAGATAAGAATTGACCTGAATTTCATAGCTGTGAGGCAAACAAAATATTAAAAACATTATAGAATTAGTTTCACAATGTTTACATAGCTTGTCCTTATGTGTTTTATGTGTCCTTATTACTAATTCATTATTAGCATGGGAAAACCTTAGAAAAACCAAAATAGGCATTTTCTGGTGGCACAGCAGGTTAAGGCACAGCACTGCAAGCTGGCCATTTGCCCCTTCAGTGCAAGTTTGACCCCTTGCCCCAGCGGTGATCCACATGATGCGCAGACCTCTCCTGTCTCACCTTCTGCTCCCCACTCTGTCGCTAGTGAATCCTCTCATTGCCCCTGCACCTCTGGCCAGTACCCCAGTTCTACATGCATAAATAAATCTTTTTTTAAAAATAAAATAATGGCACATGGGTGATTTGGTAATGGGAAGCCCATGGGGGTTACAACTGAGATGGAAAAAGGCACAAAATGATGTAAAAATAAACTATTGTAAAAATTAATTAATTGATCAATTAAATAAATCTAAATACACAGAGAAATTAAATATAGATACAATAAAAGTAACATCTCAGAATCAGTGGGGAAAGTAAGATTATTGCACAAATGGAATTAGAAGGACTGATAGAGCCCTCCCTGGTGGTGCAACAGGTTAAAGCACAACACTATGAAGCTATCATGTGTTCGATCCCCAGGCAGGGGAGTGACCCACATGGTGTGGCAGACCTCTCCTGACCTACCCACTGTTCCCCTCAGCAGTGAATTTTAGTAGATCTACCTATTCTGCTCCTCATTCTAAGTTCAGTAGTGTGGTTAGAGTGTAGAGAAACAAATACTCTCTGTAAGTGATTGGCGAGAAATGGGTTCAGCCTTTTGTAGAAATCACTCTAGAAAGTGAAGCTCAAGGTGAAAGACTTCATAGCTTGCCATCTAATACAGTTTTACTTTTTCAGTCATGTTCTTTATAAGGGAATATAATTATATAAAGTGCCATGTTGTTATTTATAGGCGAAGTTACAAGAGTCTATTGAATATGAAGATTTGGGGAAAAATAATTCCATGAAAACAATTGCACTAAACCTCAAGAAGTCAGATAGGTAAGTTGTTCAGTATTAATTAAATTTGAGACAGAATAGTTATAGAACACAAGTTATTGCAGACTATAATCTGCAATTATGGCATTCAAATTCTGTAAGTTTTGATTTGTTACCATAGAAGTACATATCTTTCTTTAAAATTTGTTTCTGAGGTAAAGATCCTAAATGGTTAAAGTGAAGGAAATTAATTTCAGTTTTCTCTTACTGCCCTTCTACAAATTACATTATTTAAATTTCTTTAAACACATTTTTGCTTTCAGGAGAATGTTGTGTGTTAGGACTGCTGAAATCATGATTTCTTTCTTTGCTAAACTTTAGGTATTACCATGGTCCAACTCCAATCCAGTCATTACAGTATGCAACAAGTCAGGACATTATTAATTCTTTTCAAAGTATTAGACAAGAAATGGAAGCTTATACACCCAAATTAACTCAGGTAAGTGACTTGACTGAACACCAGAATTTCTGTAATTCCTTCTTTATGAGCCTAATCAAATTGTTATTTTAATCGGACTTAAAGACATTTCAGCCAAATAAATTCTAAGTATGAAGAGCTAGAGAGAAAAGGCTATTTTAACATTCAAGAAATATCCGAAGATGATTATTAAAAATATGATGAGCTTTTCGTCCCATATACACACACACTTTTACTGATTTCAGTAAAAATTCTAAACATCCCTTTCTTAGATGTTCACATGACCTCAAACTGAATATATAAATTAAAACTCATCTCTTCATTTTCCTGCCCTTACTCATACTTTAGTCAGTCAGAAAATTCTGTCTATTCAGGGAATTCTTTAGCCTTTCACCTTGGTTCAGGTAGATATGATCACTTTTATCTTTTCGATAACATAAATTCCATGATACTACTCTATAGCTTAAAAACCTTTAGTCCCCTTTTTCCCTTTGCAAAACAGAAGCAGCAGCTCTCCTGTTACCTATCTGTGACTATGCAGGTCCTCTCCTTTTCCTAATAAACCTGTCCTTTTAAAATGTAAAGTAAAACAAGACCAAAAAACTCCACTCCCTTCATTGCTATAGCAATGAGATGCATCTCACACTGGCTCCTGTATTGCTTTAGCAGTTTGTAATCAATTTTGAGCTTCTTTGTTTTATGGCACGTTGAGGTAGATTTTCCAGGTTCATCTTAACAGCACCACAGAACCTTCCTTTTGGTGATAAGTAGAAACTGAGATCAGAGTACTAGGTCTATTAATGGCTGTTGGGGTGTTGACTACTAATGTCATTATCCCCTCATTGTACAAAGCTTGGAAAAATGTTTGTACATATATCACTCACAATAAAATTGTGGTTAACTACTTTTATTCTAAACTGTAATAGTCCAACAGTAATAGCTCGTCCTTGGGCCTAGCTAGATCCACCTAAGATTTTAAAGTTGTAGTCTGTCTTAAGTATTTAGATTCTTTACCACATCCACTTCCCCTCCCCCCACCCCACCCCCACTACACTGTATCCCCCAAATGTGATTTCATTATCTGAGACATGTGAATTAAGTCATTGGCTCAAGATTATCTGGTGGAGTCAGTAACTAGTCAGCAAGCTCAGTAATCAACAAAGTTTTTGTTCAAATGTAACATTTCTGACAATAGGAATATTTCCTATATCCCTTAAGTCAGGGTTATCATGTACTACACTTGAAACTAAATTTTAAAAAACTTATTTTCATCCAGCCCACATACACATTTCTAAAAAATCATTGAAAAGTCTTAGACACCACACTTGGACTGTTTAACAAGATTTGTTCCTTCCTATAGTCACAGTCCCTGGCTTTTTGTTAGAAACTCATTAAATAAATAAGTTGGTTATACCCCTTGGTGTTTCCCCCTTTGTGGTAAAGTATTTGCTTCCTTGGAAAATTATAGGGACCAAGTCTAAGTGCTATCAAGCTATCGCAAGCCACTGCAACTTGAGTTCTATCCCTACCCACATAGTGCAGCAGATCTTTCCTGTCTCGGTGAATCCTCTCACCCCTGTACCTCTGGCCTGCACCCCAGTTCTTCTAAGCATAAATAAATACATCTTCAGAAAAAGAAAAAGGGCCCTCCCTGGTGGAACAGTGGGTAAGGACACAGAACTGCAAGCTAGCCACAGCCGCTTCAGTGCAAGTTTGATCCCTGGCCCCGGAGGTGACCCACATGGCATAGCAGACCTCTCCTGACCTGCCTGCTGTTCCCCTCAGCAGTTACTTTGTCAGTCTTGCCTGTTCTGCTCCCCACTCTGTCTCTGGTGAAGCCTCTCACCACCCCTGTACCTCTGGCCTATACCCTAGTTCTGTATGCATAAATAATTTTTTTTTTAAGTTACAAATGGTACATTTTTGTTCTCCTGTTGTTTTTTTTCCCCAGCAACTGTTGAGGATACATGTTAATGTGTGGTTTCACTTAACTTTCTTGCCTTAAATTCAGTTTTATCTTCAGTGGTAAGAGTTTACAAGTAGTGTTGGGACTTCAAGAGCTTCACTAGGTAAAAAATGTCAGTTTGAGGTCATGTTGAATTTGCTTGGTATTCCTGAGAGTTTGGTAAGTAAGTATTGCCTTTCTACACATGCTTTGTTTCTGACCTCATGTGAAGAGTTCACCTGGTTGCTTTAAATTACACATTCGTACAGGAACAAAGACTTAAGGACATTTGTCCTGATTTGTTTCAGGTTCTTTCAAGTAGTGCTGCCAGTAGTACCATCACAGCACTGTCACCTGGAGGAGCACTTATGCAGGGAGGAACGCAGCAAGCCATAAACCGTATGTCTGGGCCACCTTTTGTTGCTCTCCCATTGCCTAAAAAAGCTCTACAGAATGAGTAGAGAGGTTTTTCTTTGTTAACTCGGACATTGTGTTTTATGCATCTACATCCTGAAATATTACTCATGAAGGCCATAGAAACCCCTCATTCTTACCAACAAACAGTAGGCGTTGCTAGACTCCTTTATCACCCTAAATAAAAGCTTTCTTCATTTCTCCTCTACCTCTTAACAACAAAGGAAAACCTGCAGAGTTCATCCAAAGTCTTAAGGGAATTTTAATTCTGTGACCTCTTATCCACATAATCAGTAATTTGTGTCAGCCTTAACATCTTATTTTGGCAATGGCAAAAAGCATATGTTCAAGTTTATTCTCATGAATAATCATTCTTTCAGAGACTGTATGTGAAAATAACTTTTATCCTCAATCTGTTTTCTTTTACAGAGATGGTGCCAAATGATATTCAGTCTGAGTTGAAACACCTCTATGTGGCAGTTGGGGAACTTTTACGGCACTTCTGGTCCTGCTTTCCTGTTAATACACCATTCCTAGAAGAAAAGGTTGGGACTAATCCAAACAAAGCCAACTGTTGTCATAGTGTGACTTAGAGGGTTTTTTGGTTTTTGTTTTTCTCTCCTTAAATTGGAGAATTATATTGCGTGTTTACCATGTACCATTGGGATAACTCTTATTATTTGGTACACATTATAGGTCTGGTCAAATACATATTGAGAGGACAACAGATTTAGCACTAGCTAGCTTCTTAACTTAAAAACCATGTTAACCAATTAAGACAGTAATGGAAAGATGTTTTTAATGCTAATAACTTTACTGTTACAAGGTTGCTCTTATAATCAATTTTTTAAAGAAAAGGTAATATCCTATTTAAAGATAATGTGCAAAAAAAAAGAGAGAATACAAGAACCCAGTAAATCCAAGAGGAAATTTTCATACTCACTAATGTTCAAATAAATTATCAGTTTTTCTTTTTGGTGTCCTGCATAGGAAACCTCCTTGTAACCTACCAATCATAATTGAACGTAATGTTTCAGGTGTGTTTTGACTAGTACAGAACTTTATGAGATTGTGGTTTGCAATATAAAGGATGTTTACTACTTGTAATCTAAACCTGTGAAATTTTTAATAATTACTTGACAATCTAGCTCACTCATTTTGTAACCTAAAAAATTCCCTAATGTTTCTTTTCTGTGATTAGACTCTGTACCTTTGACCCAAGGCAACCACTAATATACTTTATGTCTCTATAAATTAGTTTGCATTTTCTAGAATTTTATGTATATGGAATCACATGTACATATATAACCAACCATAAAAGAGTTTTCTCCTTTGGAAGATGTGTGATTTTTCCCTTTAAACAAACAACAAAAAAATTATTTTCATCTCTGGTACTTATCAGTGTCTACTTTTACTTTTTTTTAATCTGATATTTTCCCTAAGAAAAAATTTCTAAATGGTTTTTTATATATTTTGCTTTGTCTTTTTTGTCCATTCTGTAACCATCCAATATTTGTCTTTGTCATCCTGACTGACTTTACTGTGCTAATTCCCTTGTACTCCTTCTGTTTGCTGTATAGGCATCGTTTTATCTTTTCCTTACGCATTAGCAATAGTCCATTATGTGAATACATCACATCTTAATCCAATTCCTTATTAGTACGCCCTTAGTTTGTTTCCATGTCTGAACGATTGTAAATAATGCTGCAATAAACATTGAAGAGCGTATAATTTTTTGAGTCTATGGTTTCATGTTTTGGGGTAGATGCCCAAGAATGACATTGTTAGGTCATACAGTATTTCCATTCTTAGTTATTTAAGGTTCGTTCAAATTGCTTTTCAAAATGGCTGAAATGGCTGCACCAGTTTATATTCCCACCAACAATGTAATGGGATTCCTCTTTCTCTGGACCCTCTCCAGCACTTGTAGGGGTATCATCTTAATATGTGCCTCACAGATGTGAGATATCTCGTGGTGGCACTGACTGCATCTCCCTTATAAAAATGATAATGAATGTTTTTTCCTTATGGCTATTAGTCTCTAGATATCTTCTTAGAGTAGTTGGGTTTTTTGCTTTTGAATAGTTAAATTAAGGTTTGGTTTGTTTTTTTGTATCTTGTTATTAACCTTTCTTTGTCACCTAATGTGAATATTCCTCATGGTAGAATGTCTTTTTAATCTGTTTTCTTCTGATATGTAAAAGCTTTTGAGATAACTAACCCCCACTGTTTATTTTCACATAAACATCCCTTGCAGAAGGGCCTAGTCTCCAAAAACATCTTTATCATTAGTGATGATAAAATTGGATCACAAGCTTTTTCTTCTATTTTTATTGTTGCAGGTCTTAGATCTAAATCTTCAGTTCATTACGAAGTTATTTTGTGTATGGAATTAGAGTGTGGTCCACCATCATTCTTTTACATGGAACTGTCCAGTTTTCCTAGCATGTTTGTTGAAGATACTCTCCAGTGCTGACTACATGGTCATGGCTTCTTTACCATGAATTAAGTAGTGACATAAATGTAGATTTATTTCTGGGCTTTGAAATTTTTGTCTCACTCTATTTTTTCTGTACATATTTTTATACACATGCACAGAAAAATACCAAGACTATGAATTATGAACCAGAGTTTTATGATATCTGTGTGGTAGAATATTCAAGACATGCACTTATTTTCTTCTTTTTACATTAATTTTTCTTTCTGCAGAAATCATGTTATTTTGGGAATAGATATTTTTTTCTCTGCCTGGTGGAGCCATTTAATCTAAATGTGTGTATAGATACATACACACACATTGTTGTGTGTATTTTTCTCTTCCCTGTAGGGTCTTTTTGATTCCTTTATAATTCATTTTTTCCTCTCATCTTTTTCAGGTAGTGAAAATGAAAAGTAATTTGGAACGGTTCCAAGTTACAAAGCTCTCTCCATTCCAAGAAAAAATTCGAAGACAGTATTTAAGCACAAATGTAAGACAACAATCTAATTTTTGCCCGACTTTTCATTTTCTATGTACTAAAATGATAAATTAGCCATGTGTCTGGTAATGAGTATTTAGATTTTTTTCGTTGTTGCTGAAAGTACAAGGAGTGCTTTTTAAAATATTAGAGCAAATTACCTGTATGTCCACCAGTCATGGTAAGAAATACTACCAACATTACCAGTATTTATAGGATCCCCTAAATACCTTTGTGCATTGGTCTGTTCTTGCCTTCTATTGTCCCTAGGCCATGACTAACCAGGCATTTAAAATAATCATCAAGTTGTGCTTTCTTCATAATTTACAACTTATGTGTATGTTCCTAAAATAATACTTACTTGTAAAGCTGAGTAGCAAGCACAAACCGAGCAATGCAAAGAATGACAAAGTTGCCAATATATATGACAGTAAACAGAGCAGTTCCTGGACTGGTGAACAGTCTGCCTTCACCTTCTCTAGTTTACAGTGCATAAGGTAGTGAAGGAGAAGTATCATTTTGTACCCAGGATTTTTAGCTTTGTTTTTAATGCCAGGCTAGAGCAACCATACAAGATCATTTATTGTGTGCGTGTAAATTCTCTCTGAGATGACTGGGAGACATTTTTATATACATACTTTAAATGTCTTTCCATGGCAGGGCAGGGATGGCAATAGGTTTCAACTCATTGAAACTTCCAGAGCACTATTGTGAAAAAGGATCTAAAGTCTCGTACAGCCTTATAGAAGGTTGTGGTATTCATCTCTTCTAGGTGGTAATTTCAAACCACTACTGCCCATCAAATAGAATAAATTATTTTTATATAGTTTCCAGAAAGACCTAATAACATAATAAGGTTATACTTCTAACACACAAGTAATGATAGCAGATGTGTAAGAGTTTTGTTTTTTCTATCCTTCTGGTCAGATTTAAGACATTGACATGCTAGTAGGATTTATGACTCCCTTATCTCTATCCCAGTACTGTCAGAAATAACTTGTAGACTTTACAAGACTGGATTCCAAACAGATAAATGCTGCCCACCTCCAAAGAAATATATTCCAAAGATATTCTACCACAGGAGTCTGTCAGCATATATCAGTGTGGTCTTGTTGACATCTAGTTATATCTGTGATAAAGACTTTCTTTTCTACTCAAGATACATAGTCCTGACCTAAGGTTTAACACAGTACTCTTGTGAAACATTGAAACCATTTAGATATTCTCCAACATGAGTTACATTGAAATCCTAAAATGTTGGAGCTGGAAAAGACCCTAGAGAACATAGGAAAATACTTTGCAAGATTGTGCAGAATTAGCTTCAGGAACCTTTGAAAATACAAGACTACTGGGTCTCATCAGAATCTTGTGGGATAAAGGATTTTTCAAGTGTTACATGACGTAATGTTGCTGCCACCATCCTGGCTGTAGTCAACAGATTAATGTCCAAATCTTGAAATCACCAGTTTGTTCACCTCCTTCATTGATAAGAGAAACTGAGGTCTAGAGTACAATTAGGATTTTCATATTTTCCTGGTTAGTGACAGCAAATACTACAACCTTGACAGAACAGGCAAATTTCCAGCCTCTACTGTATCCAGCATCTTTCTTATATTTCCATGAAAATTGTACCTATTAATACTGTCTGTATGTCATTGCCTCATTGACTGAAGACATACACATGAGCTTGGAAACTACTCTGAAGTGTATGTCAGATCAGGGTCAGCAGCATCAACTTCCCCAGACTTTGCCCAGTTGTTAAGTGTCCTCCTGTGTTTTTCAGTTGGTAAGTCACATAGAAGAAATGCTCCAGACAGCGTACAACAAGCTCCACATGTGGCAGTCACGGCGTCTGATGAAGAAAACGTGAAGGGTCAGTAGCTCTCACGGGTTTTGTGAGACAGAGAACTGTGGCCCACAGTGACCCTGAAAACCTGGCCTGACCGACCTGCAGATGATCACTTAGAAGTGACAAACATCTGCACCACGCAGACTCTCGGAGCTGATGCTGTTGTACTTGCACATTGTGAACTGAAAGGAACTGTGATTAAATTAAAAGCTGGGGAGGTAAATTAAGGCAGAACCAAAATGAGCTAAGTTGCAAATATATATATTTTAAAAAGACACTGTTTACCGCAGTTACTCAGGACTGCTTTTGATTCACATTAAGCTGCTTTCAAAATTTGAAGAAGAAAAAAAAAAACACTTTTTTAAAGGGTGCATTAATAAAATTGGGGGGACTAGGGGATTTTGTTTGGTTTTTCTGTGTAAAAAATTTTTCCTAAGTTTATGGCACAGGGTACACCTTAAGTATTTCTCCTTCATCCAGTTTTGAATTTTCAAGTTTCACTGAATTCTAGTTATGCCTAACATCAGCAAATTAAAGAGAGTACTTATAGATAAAGCAGAGGGAGACTGTTACTCAACCATCAGGAAACAGTTAGAGTCAGAAGACATCGTTGGTCCTGTGTTTCCTACGGAAATAAAACACAATAAATATTGCACTGAATGTTTGTGGCTTGGAGTCCCTAAATGATGAAGAGGGAACATATTTGCAGAAAGTCGCGTGGGGCTTTTTATGCAGAATTTTGTCAGAAGACAAGAAGGCACTGCATGTTTTTCTTTGAGTGCAAATGTACATTGCTAAGAGTTTGTTTTTTTTTGTTTTTGTTTTTTTAAGATGGCATGTGCTTTGGAAAGAGAAAATTGCATTTTTAAGAGTTTAAAAATCTTATGAGTGAAAAATATAAAAAACCATACTTATTTTCACTTCTTTAGTAAAAATAAAAGATGTTTCTCATATCTCCTTTTCTCCGGTATCTGTTACTATCCTTGGCGTATCGATAATCACTGCACAGTGACTGAAAAGCCTAAATGCACCAAAAAAGAGGAAAGCTATGTTTTTGTCTCTGGAATCCGTGCCATATTTTGTTCCTAATGGGATCAACCTGCTGTTTCTCTTTAAGACTTTAGGTGTCTTGTATTAAAAATTACAGTAAAAAGTAAAACTTCCTTTAGATAACTGTTCTGACTGAAACATATCTTGTGGTTTCTCCTTATGTGTGATATTTTCTTGGGTGGTGGCTTGAGGGCTGCTCGTTCTTAAAACCATTATCATGACTTGTTTAATGGTACAAACAGGTCAAAATCCTTTCCAGACTTTGAACTGGTAAAAGGAAAGACAACCTCCCATTTCTCCGTTAGCGTCCAATAGCGTTGGTGTAATCCCTTAGCTATTACAGTTTTACAAAGTGCCTTTCAAATGTCACCATAATTACTCTGAACTATAACAATGGAGCAAATAGAAAAATATTTGAAATAGAAGATTATGTGTTGGGAAGGCAGATAGATGTAAACAAAACAAAACACTGTTGAGTGCTCTTTAAAATATGCAATGATACAACTGTCCTGGTGAGACAGGGTTTAAGTCTCAGCACTATAAAGCTGTCCACAGCCACTGCAGCATGAGCTCAATCTCCGGCCCTGGAGGTGACCCACATGGCGCGGCAGACCTCTCCTCAGCAGTGTACTTCCTTGATCTGCCTGTTCTGCGCCCCACTCTGATGAATACTCCCACCCCACCCCCAACTCCTGTACTCCTGTACCTCTACTCTATACCCCAGTTTTGGTATACCCATATAAACATGTTTAATATATGTGTGTGTGTGTATATATATATATATATATATAGGGCCCTCCCTGGTGGTGCAACAGGTTAAACACAACACTAGGAATCTAGCTACACCTGCTTCAGCATGAGTTCGATACCTACCAGAGAAGTGGCCCACTTGGTGTAGCAGATCTCTCCAGTCTTGCCCACTGCCCCCTTCAGTGGTGTACTTCATCAATCTGTCTGTTCTGCTCCCCACTCTTTCTGGTGAATCCTTCCACTGCCCCTGTTCCTCTGTCCTATACTCCAGTTCTGTATGCATAAATACTTTTTTTTTAATTTAAAAAATAACTAAGCCTTAAAGATCAAATAGGGAATAGTGTGATGAAGGTGTGAAGGCTTTAAAGATCCCAGTGTGTTAAAGGAATGGGCATGCAAAGAGCCTGGGGAGATCAGTTTAATCCAGATTGTGACTGGTTTGTATGCCAAGGAATTCAGACCTATCTCAAGTTCAGGCAACCTGGGAGAAAACTTGGAGCAAATACGTTGTTTTTATTAGGGCTTTTTGATTGCTTCATCAGGTTTTGTATGCTTTGCTTTTTAATGAAAGATCTCACAGTTAGGGAGGCCAAAGCCTGAAATGCTTTTAGAGCAATGCAGAGTGGAACGAAGTCCAAATTAAAGTGGAAATCCAGTACATTTATAAGATAAGCAAATCTCATAAGCAGTGAAGGGAATGAGGGTGACTTCACCAGAGAGCTCTCAATTTCATGTCTAGCTTGCATTTGAAACATTTGGTAGTTCAAGTCCTTTAAAAATGAACTTTGGCAGCCATCTAGACCCACTGTGGCCCCACCTCCCATTCTGGAAAATGATAGCTACCATAAACTAGCACTGTGCCAGGCACCTTCCCTGCAATAGGTCATGTTATTCCCATGACAACCCATGAATCAGGTCAGTGCTGCAGATTTACAGGTTAGGCATGGTGAGTAATTCATCCAAATTCACACAGCCAGAGGTGGTGACACTAGGATTTATCCTAACTTGTGAAGCTTCTGCAGTCACCTAGGGATATGATGCTTGTGAAGTTGGAACTTTATTTCAGAGTCTGGGCTTCTGTGCCTAGTTTTGGCTTTGTTCTGTCAGGCTGTTCTGTCCGAGTCCATATAAAGCTTCATTTGTGGTAAATCATGAGGTTAATCTGCCTAGTGGTCCCCATCAGCCCAGAGGGCTGTAAAATAGAATAATGAAACCATGTCCTGCCTTAGGATACCGAGTTTCTCCTAGAAAGAAAAAGTCTGTGATGTTAACCTGCTTTGGACTTCATGAGTGTGATACCCACTTCAGTCTGGAAGAAAAATGATTATTTTAACTGTTGTACTCAAAAAGGAAACCAACAGATCCAGGCTGAGGGATTGATGCAGCAAGTGATTTCCTGTGGGTACACAGACCTTTTGGAGCCTACCATGACTCTGGGATGGAAAGCTGCCTGTTTTAAACTTAGATTTGCGGTCTCCAGTGTCAAGACTTGCATGGGATTCCTCAGTACATTACCTCTGCCCTTTCCCAGTTTAGCTTCTTCAAGACTCAGCTGTTCTGGTTCCTGAGGCCAGGGGGATCTTTGTTATTTTCGGTTCTTAAATTGTCTAGGTCTGGAGCGTTGCCTGGAACCTGGGTCAGAGTTTCTAGTTCATATCTTTGCTTGACTGTATTTTATTTAATTTTTTCAGTTTTTTAAATTTATGCATAAAAGAGTTTATGCATACAAGAGCTAAGGTGTAGGGCAGTGGTGAGGGGCAGTGGGGGAGGGTGGGTTGAGAATATTCACCAGAGACAGGATGGAGAGCACAACAGGCAGATGGACTGAAATGCACTGCTGAAGGGAGCAGGAGACAGGACAGTTCTGCTGGGCCTTGTGGGTCAGCTCAGTAGCTGCTGATAGCCTCATAGTGCTGAGACTTGTGCCATCAGGGAGGCACAAGTGTGCATTTTAATCACAGAAGATGCTTTTGAATTCAAACATTGTAATCAGAAAATCCTGTTTTCAGTCTTTCACAGAATCTGCAGTACAACGATATGGATCTACCTGTGCCAGAGAGCCAGTTACCTCACTCCCACTAATACAAAAGGAAAAACCGCTATCTCTCTGTCTGCCTGACTACATGCTGTATGTGTTAGGATCGATAGCTGACAACAGAAGTAGGCTTAAGTTGAAGTGTAAGATAAATTCTCGCTTAAAATTTAAATGTTACTGGCCCTCCCTGGTGGCGCAGCGGGTTAAAGCACAGCACTGAGAATCTGAAGCCACTTCCGCATGAGTTTGATTCCCGCCTGCCGCCTGCCCCGGAGGAGACCACATGGTGAGCCAGACCTCTCCTGACCCGCCCGCTGCTCCCCTCAGCAGTGTACTTCGTCAATCTGCCTGTTCTGCTCCCCACTCTGTCTCTGGTGAAGCCTCTCACCGTCCCTGAGCCTCTGACCTGTACCCCAGTTCTGTATGAATAAATAAATCTTTAAAAAAAAAAAATTTAAATGTTACTGAATCTGTAGTATTGGAAATAAATAGCAAGATAGTGATTTTCAACTTACTAGCAATTATATTAAATGTAGACATCTGAGCATTCTAAAAGCCAGATTGTCAGAATAGCTTTAAAAACCAGAACTCAACTATAGGTAGTTTGAATCACAGTGTCTGTACTTACCTCATTGGACTTCCCATCAGATGGATGTCAAACTCAGATTCACTCATCGTTAGGATTCAAAGACCGTTATCACACAGATTTCTTACTCTCTGGCTCTCTGGTGTAAAAAGAGTGAAAAGGATAAGATCACTGACCATTAATATTTTTTAAATTACAGAAGTGTAATTTTTAGGATTTGAATAATACTGAGTTACACAAAATAGAAAAGGTGTTGGACCCTTTCTCCTAAATCTCACTCCCCTTAAGTGCATTCAGTGCCTTTTCTCCAGACTTGTTTCTGTACCCTGCAGATTATTTTTCCCATCTACAACCTGAGATTTTTCTAGTGAAGAGGTATTTGGGCACACATGTGCTCTATAATGTAAATCTTGACAATTGGTCTTATCCTTAAATAAGAATCAATTAGTGGTCCTATCAGTGTAAGTCAAATTTTTGTGAGTTTTGGTCTTATCCACTTGTGAGCTATTCTTGGCACCTTGTAACCCATAAAAACAAGTTCTGCCTGGCCTGAATACAAAAATATCTTGGTATTTTACATGCACAATTAGGATCCTTTTCGCCAAAGAACATTTGGACCCACACACACAAGAAGCAGAGAAACCATTAGTATTCCAAAAAGCCTTCCCAAGACTGACTGCAACCTCAGTTTCAGTAGAAACACAGTATAGCAGAGTTGTTAGAGCATGAACCTTGGACATAAGGTCTTTAGGTTCAAATTGCTCAGTAGCCTTGTGACCTTGAGTCCACGCCAACACCCCTTCATCTATAAAATGGACCTTCACAGGAATTGCTTAAAAATACACAGTTCTGAGAATGCAGTTAAAATCTATAATTAATATGAGGTCATTAAAGTTTTACATTTACCTTAAGTCC